ACTTGTAGAAAACTAAAGCTAGATCCTTATATATCACCCTGCACCAGAATCAACTCCAAATGGATCAAAGACCTCGAAGTCAAAGCAGACACTCTGAAAACATTACAGGATGGAATAGGAGAAACCCTGGGTCTCCTTGGCTCAGGCCGAAATTTTCTGAATAGAGACCCGGAAACACAACAAATCAAAGAAAGGTTGGACAAATGGGATTGCATAAAGTTGCATAGCTTCTGCATGGCAAAGGACATAGCTAGCAAGATCAATAGAAAGCCCACAGATTGGGAGAAGATCTTTACTAGCCATACAACGGACAAGGGTCTCATATCTAAAATATACTTGGAACTCAAAAAATTAAATCCCCCAACAACAAATCCTCAAAGAAACAACTGCCCAATAAACAAGTGGGTGAAAGACTTAAAGAGAAACTTCTCTGAAGAAGAAAGAAGGATGGCCAATAGACACATGAAGAAATGCTCAACCTCCCTAGCCATAAAAGAAATGCAAATCAAAACAACATTGAGATATCACCTCACTCCAGTTAGAACGGCAAAAATCAAGAACTTTTAACAACAACAGATGCTGGAGGGGATGTGGACAGAAGGGAACCTTACTTCATTGTTGGTGAGAATGTAAACTTGTTCAACCACTTTGGAAAGCAGTATGGAGGTTCCTCAAAAGACTCCACATAGAACTCCCCTATGACCCAGCAATCCCACTTTTGGGCATTTACCCAAATGTTTACAAACAAGACCACACTAAAGCTACCAGCACAACTATGTTTATTGCAGCATTATTTACCATAGCTAAGATCTGGAACCAACCCAGATGCCCCTCAGTAGATGAATGGATCAAGAAAATGTGGTATATATACACAATGGAATTCTATGCCTCCATCAGAAAGAATGTCATTGCCCCATTTGTTAGGCAATGGAAAGACTTGGAAAAAATTATATTAAGCGAAGTAAGACAGGCCCAAAGAAACATAGGCCCCATGGTTTCCCTTACTTGCAATATCTAGTATATGTATGAGTCAAGCGGAAAAGGTCAGATAATGTGATGTTAGGAAAATGAACCCTTAGATATGTGTTTTAATGTTTTTTTCTTTCATGCATGTGTTTCTAACACATTTATAAGATTATTTCTTTGTTGCTTTGTATGTCCCTCCCCCACAGTATAACCCCCGCTTTCACTATATTTGATGTCAGTATAACATGTGGAGGAGATGGGGAAAAACAAGTCGTTTAAGGATACAGGTGGACCTGTTGCAACAATGAGAAGTACAAGTTGTCATGTCCAAAACGAGCTTTACAACGTCGGTGGGGGGGGGAGGATTGGGACTGGGGGGGGAGGGGGGAGGCTGGGAAGGGATGTGAAGGGTAAATAAAGGAGGAGGCTGCAATGCTTGGTAAGAAATGTATGCATTATCCTGCCCATGTAATTGTAACCCCTCTGTACAGTATGTTCACAAATAAAATAAAAAAAAAAAAAAAAAAGAAATCCTTTTCAAGGCATGACATGATGGTAAATTCCTGTAATCCCAACTACTTGGAGGGTAGAAATCAGGAGGAAAGATGTTGAAGGCTAATCTAAGTAAAAAGTAAGATCTCACCTCAACCCATAAGCTATGTGTGGTGGTACGTACCTGTAGTTCCAGGTAATAGCGAGACATGGAAAGGAGGATCATGGCCTAAACTAGCCTAAGAAATAAAGGAAAAAGAAAAAGATATAGAAAAGAAAGAAATACTTTTTAAATGAGTAAGCATTTATTTTCTCATTTTGTGGATAAGAAATGTCTTAGGGAAAAAGAAATGTTTATATAGGGCTACTGGTGAACCTTATGAAATGGGAATAAAAGAAGAGAGTACAGCTGGGCATGGTGGTTCCTGCTTGTATTCCTAGCTACTCTGGTGGCTGAGACAGAGGGATTGCTTGAGTACAGGAATTTGAGCCCAGCCTGGATGATGTGGCGAGAGTCTGATTTAAAAGAAAAAAGTACAATGCCTGCAAACAGAATTAATAAAATTACTTTTTCTCTATGATTTTATAACACCGCTCAAGATAAATAGAAAGAGGCTATTATATGCAACTGTTTATAGAAATATAGAATAATTTGAAGTAAGTACATTGAATATAACATTTTAGGTCTTAAAGGACCTTGACTCAGAGCAAGTTATAATTGGATCTTCAAAGCATTGAACTATTTTCATTTCTTTTGATAATGCCCAATTTATACAGTGTACTATACTGCTTGTTTTTAGTTTATTTTCAGTAATGCTTTCCCAGTAAATAGATATTTAAAATATATTCTTAAATATGACTTTATTATGTCTAAAGGGCCAAAGTTTTCGTGGGAAGCTTATCTCAATTTTACAATGGGAACATATTATAATAGTGTGTTGGGACCCTAGTTAGAACGGCTATAATCAAGAAATCTAATAACAACAGATGCTTGTGGGGATGTGGCCAAAAGTGAACCCTACTGCACTGTTGGTGGGAGCGTAAACTTGTTTAACCACTCCGGAAAGCAGTATGGAGGTTCCTCAAAAGACTCCACATAGATTCCCGCATGACCCACCAGTCCTACTTTTGGGCATTTACCCAAATGATCACAAACAAGTCCATAGTAAAGCTACCAGCACAACTATGTTTAACACAGCATTATTCACCATAGCTAAGGTATAGAACCAACCCAGATGCCCCTCAGTAGATGAATGGATCAAGAAAATGTGATACATACATACATACATACATGCATATATATGCATATAAATACACACACACACACACACACACACACACACACACACAATGGAATTCTATACTCCCATCAGAAAGAATGACACTTCCCCATTTGTTAGGAAATGAAAAGACTTGGAAAAATCAAATTAAGTGAAGTAAGTCATACCCAAAGTAATATCGGTCCCATGATTTCCTTTATTTGCAACCAGTAGTATACGTATAGGATAATCATATCAGATAAGCAGCAAAACTCAAAAGCCATGTACATATGACGATAAAAGATGATGCTAAATGAAATGAACCCCAAGATATGGACACAAGAGGTTTTCCTTTGTTGTTGTTTTTAATGTACAATGTGATTTTTTTGTTTCTTTTGTATGTTCTTCCCTCTATGGTATATCCCCTATTGTCATTGTATGTGAGTACCCTGCATCTGGTATATACATTTATCTAATTTGGGAGGGGAAGGGGAATAACAAAATGCTGAAACAAGGACACAGGATGACCCATAGCAACAGTGAGAGTCACAAGACACTATGTTGGAAACGAACTTTGCAACTTCTGGGGGGGGGGTGAGCTGTGAAGAATGAGGGAGGGAAGGGATAGTAGGAGCAAAACAAAGGAGGGGGTAACCATGTTCAACAAGAAATGAACTCATTACCTTACTCATGTAACTGTAAACCCCTCCCACTCCGTACAGCATCTTTACAATTAAATAAACATTTTTAAAAAGTAAAAAAAGTAGTGTGCAGGGAACAGAACTCTTAGCCTATTATTCATTAAGCAATTTCTGCATGCACAGTTGTAACAAAAGAAAATTTTCTCATGCTCTAGAACCACAGAATTTTGAGGATATAAGAAATCTTAGAAGTGATAGAATATAACCACTTCCTAATGTGAAAGTCTCTGATAATCTGCTTATTTATTTTCAATGGTCGTCCACTCTGTAGATTCAGGCCAGCTGTAATTTTCCCTTTCAAAACTATGTTTCAGTAATCTTTCTTAGTTTAAACCAAAATACACGCTCCTATCGTCTATCATGTTTATTATTGGTTTTATGACTACTATATAAAGAAATATGGATAATTACATTTGTTCTCTTGGGTACTTGTAATTTGTATATATCTGCTCTCTATTTCCAAATCCTTTTGCCTGTGGGTTAGGACTGGGGCTTGATCTCAGGGACTTGTGCTCTTGTTTGCTGTGTTTTTTTTCCCCTCAAGGCTACTGCTCTATGGCTTGAGACACCTCTCTACTTCTAGTTTTTGTTGACTAATTTGACATAAGAATCTTATGAACTTTCTGCCCAGGCTGACATTGAATTGTGAGCCTTAGATCTCAGCCTCTTTAGTAGTTAGGATTACAGGTGTGAGTCACCAACACCCAACTCTATTACCAAATTCTAAGACCTGAGTTGTTAAAAGAAAATACTTGAGGGGCTGGGAAGGTGGCTCAGTGGTAGAGTGCTTGCCTTGCAAGCATGAGGCCCTGGGTTCGATTCCTCAGCACTACATAAGCAAAAAGAAAAAAAAGCCGGAAGTGGCGCTGTGGCTCAAGTGGTAGAGCGCTAGCCTTGAGCTGAAGAGCTGAGGGACAGTATCCCGGCCCAGAGTTCAAGCCCCACTATGGGACCCAAAAAAGAAAATATTTGATAAATATTGATTGCTAAATTATTTGATGGTGCCTCAATTATCTTTTGAAAGATGTAGGATTCATTTTTTTAGTCATCTAAGCTTTATTGATTCTTCCTGACTTAGCTTTAGTATTCTGTGTGTGTGTGTGTGTGTGTGTGTGTGCGTGCATGCACACACACACACACACACACACACACACACACACATATGCGCATATGGTGGGGATCTTGAATTTAGGCCTGAGTGCTGACTCTGAGCTCAAGGCTATTGCTCTGCTACTTGAGCCACAGCTCCATTTCTGGCTTGTTTGGTGGTTAATTGGAGATTAGAGTCTCAAGGACTTTTACAGCCTGAGACTAGCTTTGAACCAAGATCCTCACATCTCAGACTCCTGAGTAGCTAGGATTATGGGTGTGAATCACTGGTATGGATGTTTGTAATGTTCTTTTACATTGACATTTTTGACACTTAACCTTGATAAAACTGAATGCATACAATTCTCCCTTTCCCCCTAAATGAATAGCTTTATATTAGAGGTCATTCTTAGTTGCTATTAACCATATGTTTTAATTTAAAGATTAGAATGTATTTGCCTTTCTCAGTTTATTATTTTCTTTTATTACTTAGGATATTAGCTGCAATGAAATACAGGTCCTTCCCCAACAAATGGGAAAATTACAGTCACTTCGAGAGTTAAATATAAGAAGAAATAATCTTCATTCTTTGCCGGATGGTAAGGTGTTCACTGTTTTTACTTATATGTATATGAAAGTAGCAATGCAATATTTAACTTATTTATTTTTCATTTCTGCACAGAACTAGGTGATCTTCCCTTAGTCAAGCTGGATTTTTCTTGTAATAAAGTGACTGAAATCCCAGTTTGTTACAGGAAGCTGCATCATTTGCAAGTAATAGTTTTGGATAACAATCCACTACAAGTACCACCAGCACAGGTTTGTTTTGAGAATATAGAACATATTTTTCACTTTTATTCATCATTCCATCTCTTTGTTAAAAAACACCAAATGAAGAATCAAAAGTATTTCTTTATAGAAATGAAGTGGTTTTTTGACTTTGGTAGGAAGATCTAGATTAGTATTTTGAAAACCCAGACATTAGCTTTCTGCTTGAATTATTTTTGGCAGCACTGGTTTGAACTGAGAGTCTGTGATTGCTCATCATGTTCTTTACCATTTAAGCCATGCCTCTAGCCTGGATTTTTGCTGGTTATTTTGGAGATGGAGTCTACTCAGTTTTTGTTTGCTATTTACCCTAAAGAATAGTTAGATTCTTAGGTTTTTGTCCATCAGTTGGGAGTCCGTATGAAGTACCTCTTGCCTCTGCATAAGACTGGAGTTTACTCTTTAAAGAAGCACTGCCAATATTACTTTCTATAGTAATGTAAATGTTCTGTGTCTGTACTGTCTATTATGGTAGCCATAGTGGTTGTTGAGGACTTGAATGTTTATAGGGTAATAGAATGGAATTATTGAGACAAGAGTTTTAGATCCCAGACCCCAACTCCAGAAGTTGTACTTGTTAGGTCTGGCCACACATCTCTACATGCCAAATAGAGATGTGAATGGCAGACACATGCATGGCATGGGAAGACAGTACTTCTGGACATCTTCAGCTATTTTCAGGGTACAGACATTTGCCTTAGGTTAAATAGGGAGAATTAGGGCAGAAGGCAAGAAAGTATGCATTGTTAAAATAGTCCCAAGTAAAAGAATTGTTCAAAGGTGTCAGGTGGTCTGATAGTCTACTGTCTCACATTTGATGAGGTGAGACCTCAGAGACTTGTTGATATCTAGCAGTTGATCTGGTCTCCTTTCTGCTCTTTTCTGGGTCCCAAAACACTTAAAAAGTGACAGAATGGCTCAGGACATAGATGGAAAATGGAGGAGTCTGGAATATTTAGCCTTTGTTCTGCTCCCCAGTTATTATTTCTCAGCAAAGGCAGCTTTTGTCACTTTTATTTAGATATAATTGTTTACATTTACATAGTCACATGTGGCTAGTGTTTACCATATTGTACAATATAGCTATAAGAGATTGAACTGTAGTCAAGTGTTACAAAATCTTGGAATCAGATTCATGTGCCTGAAGAGCAGCAAACACCAACAGTGAACATAGGGTAATTGAATAGAGAATTTAGTCAAGAAGATACCAATTGAGCAGGTGGGGGAAATTCCTCCTCAAATCCACCCTCTTTCAGCAAGCATGATTGTACAGAAAGAAGGTTTAATTTCATGTGTTTTTCATAAAATAAATGTGTTCAGTCTTCTTGATTCCAGTGAATATCTGGTAGAATATTGAGCAATCTGTGGTTCTGCAAATCAAGTGTGTAAACCATCCTACGAATGCTGTTAGTTCATTTTTCTGTAACAAAGATAACACTGTTAACAATGGATAATTACAGAAATAGAAACAGGGCTAGATGAAAGAATGTGGTGTTATTCCTATTTATTTTCAAAGTTTAACTAGGAGCTGGGCGCTGGTGGCTCACATTTGCAATCTTAGCTACTTAAGAGGGTGAGATTAGAGGATTGTGGTTTGAAGCAATCATGGGCAAGAAAGTTCATGAGACGATTTTTTTTCTCAGTCTTGAGGCTTGAACTCTGGGCATGAGCACTGTCCCTAAGCTCTTCAGCTCAAGGATAGAGCTCTACCACTTGAGCCACGGCGCCACTTCTGGTTTTTCTGGTGATTTATTGGAGATAAGAGTTTCACAGCTTTTCCTGCCTGGGCTGACTTTGAACCCTGCTCCTCAGATCTCAGCCTTCTGAGTAGTTAAGAATTACAAACGTGAGCCACCAGTGCCCACTTCAAGAGATTGACTCTTATCTCCAGTTAACCACCAAAAAAGTAAATGAAGCTGTGGCTTAAATCAGTAGGTAGAGTGCTAGCCTTGAGCAGAAAAACTCAGGGATAGCGTCCAGGCCGCGTTCAAGCTCCACAATCAGCAACAACAAAAAATTAAACTAGGGAGCAAGAGTGGCTCAAAAAACTTAGAAGAGTAAAAGTTTTATTAGTTTTGTTATGTGAGCTTGGTTATACAGATACAAGTGTGAGCAGTCATGGGCATAGTGAGACCCTATGCCCCAAACAATGAATGCTTACATACAAAATGATGGGATTCTCTGGTAGACTTCCCTACTGGACAACAGAATACATGCTCCCTTTTCATCCATGTCGGACAGAATTGATGGATTCCTTCTGTGGTAAACTGATTGACTCAGGAGAAAGGACTAAGGTCACATGAACTGTCAATCTCTGTTGTATCACCTGATAGATGGAAACTCACCATTAGTAAACTTCCACCATGCATACAAAGCTTCCCATTGGCTTTTTATTGACTCTTGAAAATGAGAAGGCAGCGAACAATAACTAGATGTTGTAGGAATAATAACAAAACAGAGACTAAAATACTAAAAGTCTTCCATTGAAGCAAGACAGGATACACTGTTTCTCTTGTTTTCTTTCTTTTTTTATCTGCTTGTAGATATCCAGAAATATTTGTAAACGATATATCCTATCTTGTAAGAGCTTTATATCTAAAATACATAGGCAACTCATAAAATTTAGTAGAAAGCAAGTAAATACATAACTTAAAAATGGATAAATGACTCAGACATTTTTTCAAGAAGATATACAAATGGCCAACAGGTATTTGAAAAGATGTTTAGTATCACTAATTGTTAGGGTAATTTGGTTAAAGGTTATAACTCCCAACTATTCTTATAGTACACAAAACAATTATATGAGATGATGGGTATGTCAATTAGTTTGGCTTTGGTAATAGTTTTATAATGTATACATAGAGCAATACTTCATACTGTATACTCTAAATACATGCAGGATTGATTTGTCATTCATGACTCAGTAAAGCCAGGGAGAAAAAGAGGGAAAAAACAGAAAACATTTGCAGCAGCCCTGGAAACTAACAGAACTTAAGTTGGTTTCTTGAAAGGAGGAGGGAATAATTCCAACTTTCTACATTCAAGCTGTTAGTCAACAGTTAGGCAGGAAAAAGTTACAAGCATGGGAAGTCTTAGAGAGTTTAATTCCCATGTACCCTTAGCAGAGTGGGCCATACCATTTGTTTCTCAAAACTCTTGTTTCATTTTTAAAATTATGTACACAAATTATTAGACTATAAACAAAAGTTAATCTGGGTTCCAGTGGCTGTCTCCTGATATCCTATCTACACAAGAAGCTGAGATCTGGAAGATTAGGATCAAGGCCAGCCTGGGCAAGAAAGTTTATTAGTCTTCATCTCCAGCAAAAAGCAGGATTTGGAGGCATCATAGAATGCCAGCCTGTGAAGCTGAGGAACTGAGTTCAAACCCCAGTACCACCAAATAAGTTAGCATTTATAGAAGAAAAAATAATGAAAAGCAAATGTTTATTTAGTTTGGAAGCCAATGGAGTATTATTTACCACGGTATTTGGTGCTGGTACTGGGGAATGAACTCAAGGGCGTTGAGCTTTCATTCAGATTTTTTTTTTGGGTAAGGCTCTACCACTTGAGCCACACTTCTCATTTTTGTGTTTTGCTTTTGGAGACAAGAGTCACATGGACTTTTCTTCCTGGCATGGCTTTGAGTCTTGATCTTCAGATCTCTGTGTCCTTAATAGCTAGGAATATGGATGTGAGATATTAGCCCTTAGCTTTCTTATTTAGCACATTTTAATTGGTAATTTGTCAATTACTTATATTCTAATAGCTCAAGAAATTTATTTATTTATTTATTTTGCCAGTCGTGGGGCCTGAACTCTGGGCCTGAACGCTGTCCCTCAGCTCTTCAGCTCAAGGCTAGCGCCCTACCACTTGAGCCACAGCACTACTTCTGGCTTTTTCTGCTTATGTGGTGCTGAGGAATCAAGCCCGCAGGGCCTGATGCATGCAAGGCAGGCACTCTACCACTGAGCCACCTTCCCAATCCGAAATTTTATTTTCTTAAATGAACAATTTCAGTAGTCAATTCAGACCCAGTATCTACTTTAGTCACTATGTTAATTTTAATGAAGCATTTTTCATTTTCACTTGGAATTACACTTTCTTTTTAGTGCACTTGTCTATTTTCTTTGTTGATTGTGTTTTCATGTACTTTAAGGTTTTATGAATCTGTAACACAGTTATTTTTGTTAGAAATCTTGAGAGATTTATTTGCTCTTATTCATGGTGACTGAATTTAGCCTTTGTAAAGCTGACGTTACCTCATTTCCATTCTTTTGTGTAGTTTTTTTTGACCCCTTATTATTCCTTTCCTCCATGAGCAATGAAAATAATTTCTCAGGGTATTCTAACAAGTTTAGTCTCCTACGTTTCTGCTATCTTTATGTTAGTCTTCTGTCAATGTTCTTATCCTGAAATTTTAGTGGTTCTGGCGAGACTAAATAATTACATATATCATTTACTCTGTTCTCAAAAATCTAATGGATGGTGTTCTTTTTTTCAAATAAAGACCACTTCAATGAGTTGAAAATTTTATATTGTTGAATGGCTTTTGCATTCTACTTTTAACAAGTAAACTTGAGTGCAAAGTAGAAAAATTAGCTTACTTTTCTCAATTAAAACAAAGACATGGCAAAATACTAATTTGTAGCTTTATAATTAGATTTTTGCATGTAGTGTCAGAGTACAATTTATTCAAACATGCAAAGTGTCAAGACTGTGAAGTCTCAACATAACTTGAAAGTATTAAAAGTACATAAATAATAGAGCCTTTATATATGAAACTATATAATATATTTTATTATTTGACAGATATGTTTAAAGGGTAAAGTGCACATATTTAAGTACCTAAATATTCAAGCATGTTGTAGAATGGATAAGAAACCAGATTCCCTTGATCTTCCATCTCTGAATAAAAGAGTGCCATCTCAGCCTCTCACAGACAGGTAATGTTAACTGTTCCATGATAACTGTTCCATGTTTTAATAAAAGGTATTTCTTAATCTTGAACATTCAAAACTTGTTTAGTCTGATTGGCCCAGTTAACCTCAGTAATTGGCTGATGCTAAATATCATAGAATGCATTTTGTAATACTAGAGTAACTTTGAGATTTTTTCCAGATAATTCTTATTTCAGTAGTGAAAATGTAAATGTTTGACATAGGGACACTTATTTCTCAGTTGTAAAAACTGTTTATTTACCTTTGTCACTCTTTTCTGCATTTGTAATAGCAAGTAGAATTTGACTTTGAACTGAGGTTGGTGGAAGAGTGAGACATTTCTAGAGGTACCTTTCTTCCTTCCATCACATTTTCTCTTTTATGTGGTGCTGGGGGGTTCAGCCTATGCAAGTGCTGTGCAACTGAGCCACATTACAACCTCTTGGTTATATTCTTTATGTCCAGATCAAAGATGATGAATCACAGGTATCAGCTATGCTTTTGGTGTTTTCTTCTTTATGAGATTTTAAAATGGTACCCCTCCCTCTCTGTTTATACTGGGGCTTGAACTCAGTTCCTCATGCCTGCTAGGCAGGAGCTCTATCACTTGCGCCACATCACAGTCCTGATACTTTCTCATGATATAGATTAGTCTGAATGATTTTATGAAAATAGAATCCCATGTACCAGTATAGATAACTTTGAATGGGGTGAGACTACAAAAAGCAATACTATGTCTCTGGATAAAATATTTCAAAGGTTGTCATTGCATACATGATAAAGTTGTATATTGCTTTGAATGGCACTATCGTAAATACCACTGCTAAGCTGATATGTTCTTGAATTCCTAAATAGGACTTTTCCTTGAATACTTTTCTTGCTTTGAGTAGAATTAAATATCTAAACACTGGATTTAGTTCCTAAGGAGTATTTTGTTAAATATTATGAATTATAGTAGAGAAAATTCAGTAAAAATCGGAACTAAGACCTGTGTTAGTCTCTTAGTCTGGCTTGTAGTTGAGAATGAATTTAGTAATGATATTCACTGTTTTATTCATTTATGTCAGAGATATCTGTTGAATTCCTATTACTATATTCAGAGGGATTTTTTTTAGTTGGATACATGTTTTTCTTGATCCTCATGGAGCTTATAGTCTTGTAGAGGAGTCAATAAATAAACCAAGCAAGAATATATATTCTCAATATACTTTGTGATCTATAACCTGAGGCTGGATAATTAATAAACAATAGAAGTTTATTTGAATAATGGTTTCAGGGGCTAGGAAGTTCAAGATAGAACTGTTGTATTTGGTATTATATTGCTGTGTCACAGAAAGAAGGGCAAAAGAAGGGGAGAAGAGGGAGCCAAATTATTTCTTAAATTTATTTCCAGCATAATGAACATATTTCCATAAAAACAATCCATTCATGAGGGCACAACTCCTATGACCTAAATATCACCAGTTAGGCCTCACTTCTCCACATGGTGCAAGAATCAAATTTCCAAAATGTGAGCTTCAGTGGCACATTCGAACTATAGTATATACACACATACCCACACTCTCCTGCCCCACAGATGCTCTTCCATTTAGAGTAATTCAACTTGGCATTTTTGACTTTTTGATGCCTTTACAAGGAACCATACTTTGATTTTTTTCTATTCTAGTATGTGTGGTATGGTACTGGCTCACAATATTGGGAAGCCACAATGAGTTGCAGCAACTTAGCCACCAGGTCACAAGAGTGAACAATCAATACCTTGTCATGGACTTTGTGGTTAAGCTGTGATGTTCATTAGGTAGCTGTGTTACATTCATTTTCAGATTTTAATATTTTCAACTTTGTTTTGTTGCTGCTTCTGTATATGTATGTAAAATATATATGCACACATATGTAAAACTGTGGTGAGTACTGTAAAATAAAGAACTGTACACCGCAGTCAGGGTATGTCTCTTTGGAAGTTAAGAAAATCCAGTTATATGAGGAGTGTGGAGCAAGTCATTTGAGGCAGAAAGAATAACATGTGTAAACACTGTAGGTGAGGAACAAACTGGATTTGCTAGGGTTTTAGCAGGACACTTTGTTCAGCAGAGGAATTAAAGCATAGTGATTAAGATCTGGGAATCAGATTTACAAAGGTGTTTGCAAATTTTGTATACTCAGGTAAATTATCTCCATTTTTGCCAGCCTTAGGGTCCTTATAAAATGAGAGAATACCATCCATCTGCTAGAGTTTTCAACAGAAATATAAAAGGCATTGTCTTAAAACAACATAGTTTCTCACACATAATAAGTGTCATTATATTTGCTACCTTGGTGGCATATTTTGAAATTCAACAATTGGCAGGGATAGCCTTAACATCATACCAAAAGAACAACATATACAAGGCTTTACAACTCTTGTGTGTGTATGTCTTAATTATTAGATGGTCATTGTTTAAAAACATTACAATTAGAGCACGTTTTTGGACTGAATAAAGAACTGTGTAAAAAATATTTGTCAAACAAAGCAGAATGATAAGTCTTTTATCAAGATGATTATTTAGCAAGGTAGTTTGCTTTTCTGAATCCCTCTGGAGAAATGGGCTCTTGTTAATAATTAATACTTTATAATAGATGAAGGGAAAATATTGCATGATGGCATGAATTAAAAACCTTTCATAGGAATATTTCTGGTATTTTCCCCCTCCAGTCCTTAAGGTTGTTAAGGTTGTTTTATTTTATCTAAGAAAATTGTAGGGAAAGTGTGCATTGTCTATTTAAGAAAAAATTCTAACTGCCCTTAGGGTTTCTATTTCCATAGTATGGAAGATTTTTATCCGAATAAAAATCATGGTCCTGACTCTGGAATTGGGAGTGATAATGGAGAGAAACGATTATCTACAACAGAAGTGAGTCTTTTCTATTACAGATCTAATTTATTCTACAATTTCATTAGAGCTTTGAAAGAGACATTTGCACATATTTGACTTGCAAATAAGATCACATGACAAATGAAAAAAATCATCTATTTATTTTAAAAGCAGAACAAGCACCTTTAACATAATTTTTTGGTTTGAAAACTAGAGATATACAGCAGGTATTTTCTAATTCATATGTTTAGTTAAAGCAATATAATTTTTATCATATATTTCACATGCCTTGTTTGTATTTTATACATGTTCTTTTCAGCCTTCAGATGATGATACAATCAGTCTTCACTCTCAAGTGTCAGAATCAAATAGAGAACAAACATTGAGAAATGATAATCATACACTAGGAAGCAAGACTGATTCCCAGAAAGGTAATTCATGTGGTATCTACTCTTTTAATTTCATGTGCACAATACTTATTAAAAACAGGCTTTTAAAGTTATAATGTTCTAAGCTAATTCTTATAGTGAGAAAATAGCTTTTTATTCTAAGCACTACAGTATTAGAGCATCTTCTGTTATATTTTAAAATATATATGAATCTGCTTTTAGACCAGGAGGTGTATGATTTTATTGATCCCAATACGGAAGATGTAGCTGTTCCCGAACAAGGAGATATACATATTGGATCATTTGTCTCTTTCCTTAAGGTAAATATAACAGTGAACACATACTAATGACATGTTCTACTTAATCTTACAAAAGTAGATGGACATACAATTCAAAATGGTTTTCTTTTATATAAGGGAAAAGAAAAATGCTCTGAAAAATCACAGAAAAATGAAGATTTGGGAAATGAGAAAAGGTAAGCACAGGAGAACTCCCAAAATGAAATGTTATCCATTCCAACCAACTGAAATTCTTATAGGACTTTTTGCTCATTTATGTTATATTAGTTAATTAGCGAGTACTTTATCTCTGAATTGCTTAATTAAGCTCTGAGTAAACATTTAAGTCTGTTTAGGACACACATTGTGTTTCTTCCATGAAGTATGATAATAGTATCTCCTATTTTACTGTTGAAGAGGGCTATACCTTTTCATACATTGCTTCAGTTGAGTTCTTTAATAGCCTTTTAAAATAGGTGGGATTGAGATTATTGTACCAATTAGTAAACTTGAGACCCAGAGTTCCATAGGTCTAACTCAGGAGTTTTATATCTTGATTTAATACTTCCTAGTTTGCCAAGATGGCTATGACAAATTTAAGGATATTTTCTTGCATATTTAAAAAACTAATTGTGATTTGGATGTTCTCTTTATTTGTTTTATGAAAGCATGGGATATGATCAACCATATTTTTCTTAGTCATCCTTTCAGGTTGCCTTGTAACTGCTAGAAGGAAGGAATGCTAGAAGGCAGGAGTGTTTATTGGGTACCAATCATGTATAAGGATTAGTATGATGTCTCTTTCCATGTTTCTCATTTAATATTTACTAAATCTCTGCAGGGTAGATGTTGACTCTTTTTTCATAAGTGAGGAAGTTAAAGTTGAGAGACTACATTTTGTGTCTAAACATCTTATGTCCACTAGGGTATGAACTGAACTTTCTTGAATCTCCAAATGTTTTTGGTTTTTTTGGGGGCGGGGGGGTGTTTTCAAGGCCTTTATTCTTCTAAGCAGATAAAAATCTTCCAAAAACCTTACAGTTATCTGGGGAACTTTTCATCTTAGCCACGTTGAGAGCTACACCTATTCATATTTTCTCTCCTGTGTTAACTTACTCTTATCTTAACTGACATTTAGTTGTACCCCTCTGGATCCCCTTGACAATAAAATTAAAATTAAAAAAGAATCCATATGTTTTTATTTCCCCCTGTCTCCCCTCCTTTTTTTTTCACTGCATTTCCATTAAGTGACTTTATCAGTTAATTTGTTTTTATTTTGTTGCTGAGAATTTAACCTAAGGTCTCATGCATTCTAAGCACATACTCTACCACTGATTGAACTACAACCAGACCTTCATTTTTTAAAGAAATTACTACACTTAAGCTGGGTGATGGTGGCTCATGCATATAAGCATAGCCACTCAGGAGGCTGAGTTCAAATCCAGCTCAGACAGGAATGTCCATAAGCAAATACTAGGAGTGAAGCTGTGCTTCAAGTGCTAGAGCACCAGCCTTGAGTGAACAAAGGGACAGCATCCAGGCCCTGATTTCAAGCCCTAGCACAGGCACAGCAAATTATTGTTTTAATAGTACAAGGGGAGAATTTCCTTGTGACCTTTCTCTACATGTTTACAATATATCCCATTTTCTCTTTTCCTACTCCTTCTTAAAAACAATTTCAGCAAGTTTCATTGTTCTATTTGTATACATGTAAATAAATTACTTCAACCAAATTCATCCTCACTGATCCTTTTCCTTAGCCCTCCACCTTCTTATTGGTACTACCCTCCCCCCAACAGAGCCTGTTTCCATTTTATTTACTTTTTTTGTGGTTTAGTTGTACTAAGGGCTTTCACCATGGTCGTTTAGATATTAATATATTATATTTTGCTCAGAATAACTCTGTTTATTACTTTCTCTTTCCATGACCACCTTCCCAACCCTTATTGCACAACCCTTTCATTGATATTCATTTTGTAGTCTTCATATATAGTTGCAATTTATTTTGAAATTATTCACTCTTTTATTTTAACTCCCTTCTCTTCATCCCCTTAAACAGTCCTATAGATAAAATCATGTTTTATGATAAATATATGTATATACATATATACACATATATAACATTATATATAATGTGAATATACATGTATTTGTACATGAACATAAATGTCTTTTAGGTTTTGCATCCATATATGAGTGAAAACATATATACTTTTTGATCTTGGCTTACCCTGATTAACACAATGGTCTCTTTTCCATGCATATTTTAAAAATGACTATTTCATTTTTATTTGTGGCTGTGTTATATCTATGGTACACATATACTGTATTTTCTTTATTCATCTATTTTTGGGCACTTTAGCTGATTCTACAGTTTGGCAATTGTGAATAGTGCTACAGGTGTAAACACAGGTATACAAGTATCTTTCTTTATATTGACTTACCTTTCTTTTGTTAAATGTTCAATAGTTATTTGGTGGAGTCACATTATGAGTCAGTTTGTAGTTTTTGAGGAGATCCTACACTGATTTCTATAATAGTTAAATAGTTTACAATCCCATCAATCAGCTTATGATAGTTCATTTTCCCTGCATCCTCACTAGAATTTGTAGTTTTTGAATGATTGCTATTATGATTAGGGGAGAGAGAATCTTAGTGTAGATTTGATTTGCATTTTCTTATGGCTAAAGATGTGGAATATTTCTTCATGTATCCATTAGTTATCTGTATTTCTTCTATCCAATTCACTTTCCTATTTGTTAATTGGATTATTGGTTCTTTTGCTATTTAATTTTTCAAGCTCTTTTATTATGCTTGATATTAATCCTTTATCTGTTGAATAGCTAGCAAAGATTTCTCCCATTCTATGAGTGCTCTCTCTCTCTCTCTCTCTCTCTCTCTCTGGGGCTGATTCTATGGCTTGAATTCAGAGCCTAGGTGCTGTACCTGAGCTTTCATGTTCAAGGTCATCATCACTCTACTCCTTGATCCACAGCTTTACTTCCAATATTTTTTTGTCAGTTGTGGGGCTTGAACTCTGGGCCTAGGTGCTGTCCCTGGGCTCTTCAGCTTAAGGCTAGCACTCTATCACTTGAGTCACAGCGCTGCCTCCGGTTTTCTGGTGGTTGATTGGATAGAATTGTCTAACAGACTTTCCTGCCTGGGCTGGCTTTGAACCTTGCTCCTCAGATCTCAGCCTCCTGAGTAGCTAGAATTACACTTGTGAGCCACTGTTGTCTGGCCAGTTTCAATATTTTTATGGTTAATTGGAGATAAGAGTCTTACAAACTTTCCTACTCAGGCTGGCTTTGAACTGGGATTCTTAGGTCCCAGTCTCCTGAGTAGCTAGGATTACTGGTGGGAGTCACTGGTGCCCAGTTATGAGCTGTCTCTTGGTACTTGTAATTGTTTCCTTTTAATTTGATACAGTCTCATTTGTCAATTCTTGTTCTTGTTTTCTGGGTAATTGGAGTACTATTTAGTAAATAACCTATAATTTCCCCCTCTAATTTCCTGCAGTATATTTAAAAGTCTCAGGCCTTACTTTGAGTTCTTTACTCCATTTGGAATGGTTTTGTATACAAACTGAGAAATAGGAGTCAATCTTCAGTCTCATACACATAGATAAGTCTGTTCTGCTAGTAGCATTTGTTAAAGGAGCTACCATTTTTGAGGGTGTTAAAATGGAATTTTTTCCTAATTTCTTTCTCAGCCAGTAAATTATTGTAGAAGAGCTATTGATTTTTAAGTGTTGATTTTAAATCCTGCTGCATTTCTGATCTGGATATCAGATCTGGAAGTTTCTTGGTGGAGTCTGTAAGAACTGCTAAGTATATGAACATATCATCTCCAAAACTGGTAATTTGATTTTTCTTTCCCAATTTGAAGACTTTTATTTCTTTCTCATGCCTTATTACTCTGGCTAAGAATTATAGTTCCATATTGAACAAGAGTGTGGAGAATGAACACCTTTGTCTTGTTCCTAAGTTTAGGAGGAGAAATTATATCAGAAGAAAAAGAAAAAAAAAGAAATTATTTCAGTTTTTTGCTATTTAATATAATATGTAATAGTTCCTGTCATATTTTTTATTGTGAAAATACTGTACAGAGGGGTTACAATTACATGGGCAGGACAATGAGTACATTTCTTATCAAGCATTGTAGCCTCCTCCTTTGTTTCCCCTTCCCATCCCTTCCCATCCTCCCCCCACCCCCCAACCTTCCCCCCCCCACCAAAATTGTAAAGTTTGTTTTTCCACATAACGACCTGTACATCTTATTGATGCAATGGATCCACCTGTATCCCTATTTAAACGATTTGTTTTTTCCCTTCCCCTCCACAAATTATACCAACCTCAAACACAAGGAAAGCAGGGTTTATACCATGGGGGAGGGACATACAAAGCAACAAAGAAATAATCTTATAAATGTGTTGGAAACAATCACCTGAAAAAAAAAAACATTTGAATACATATCTTAGGGTTCATTTCCCTAACATCAACTTATCTGACCTTTTCTGCTTGACTCAGATATATACTAGTTACTGCAAATAAGGGAAACCATGGGACTTAAGTTTCTTTGGGCCTGGTTTACTTCACTTAATATAATTTTTTCCAAGCCTTTCTATTTCCTAACAAATGGGGCAATGTGATTCTTTTTGATGGAGGCATAGAATTCCATTGTGTATATATACCACATTTTCTTGATCCATTCATCTACTGAGAGGCATCTGTGTTGGTTCCATATCTTAGCTATGGTAAATAATGCTGCAATAAGCATAGTCATGCTGGTAGCTTTCGTGTGGCCTTGTTTGTGATCATTTGGGTAAATGCCCAAAAGTGGGATTGGTGGGTCATAGGGGAGCTCTATGTAGAGTCTTTTGAGGAATCTCCATACTGCTTTCCAAAGTGGTTGAACAAGATTGCACTCCCACCAACAATACAGTAAGGTTCCCTTCTGTCCACATCCCCTCCAGCATCTGTTGTTATTAGAGTTCTTGACTATAGCCATTCTAACTGGGGTGAGGTAGTATCTCAATGTTGTTTTGATTTGCATTTCTTTTATGGCTAGGGAGGTTGAGCATTTCTTCATGTGTCTATTGGCCATCCTTCTTTCCTCTTCAGAGAAGTTTCTCTTGAAGTCTTTAGCCCACTTATTTATTGGGCAGTTGTTTCTTTGAAGATTTGTTTTTGGGGGATTAGATGGTTTTACAGCGTAATTCTACAAGGCATTCAAAGCAGAGCTCACACCAATACTCCTCCAACTCTACAATGAAATTGAAAGAGAAAGTTCACTACCAAACTCATTCTATGAAGCCATAATAACCCTCATCCCAAAACCAGGCAGGGACTCATCAAAGAAAGAGAACTATACACCCATTTCTTTGATGAACATTGATGCAAATCAATTAATATAATTCATTACATCAACAGGAGCAAGGATAAGAATCACATGGTTATCTCAATAGATGCAGAAAAAGCATTTGACAAGATCCAACAGTCCTTTATGATGAAGGTTCTGGAAAAACTAGGAATCCAGGGAACATTCCTCAATACAATAAAGGCTGTATATGACAAGCCTACAGCCAGCATTGTACTTAATGGTGAAAAACTAAAGCCATTTCCTCTTAACTCAGGAACGAGACAAGGATGTCCACTCTCCATTTCTCTTCAATTTAGTATTGGAATGCCTAGCTACAGCAATAAGACAAGTTGCAAACATAAAAGGGATCCAAATAGGAAAAGATGAAGTAAAACTCTCCCTCTTTGCAGATGACATGATCTTGTATTTAAAGAATCTCACAGACTCCACTCCCAAATTACTCAAGCTGATTCAAAACTTTGGCAAAGTAGCAGGGTATAAAATTAACCCTCAAAAATGAATGGCTTTTCTGTATGCCAACAATGAGAAAAGCTTGGATGAAATTAGGAAAGCAACTCCATTTGTAATAGCCCCACAAAAAATAAAATACCTAGGAATTAACTTAACCAAAGAAGTGAAGGACCTCTATGATGAAAACTTTAAAAACTTGAAAAAGGGAATAAAAACAGAACTTAGAATGTGGCAATAACTCCCATGCTCCTGGATTGGAAAGATCAACATCATGAAAATGGCAATACTTCCCAAGGCTATCTACAAATTCAATGCGATACCTATTAATATTCCATCCTCATTCTTCAAGGAAATAGAAGTGGCAATCCAAAAATTCATATGGAACAATAAAAGACCCTGAATAACTAAAACGATACTCAACAGAAAGAATAGTGCTGGAGGAATATCAATATCAAATTTCAAACTCTACTACAAAGCCATAGTAATAAAAACAGCTTGGTACTGGCACAAAAACAGACCTCAGGACCAATGGAATAGAATTGAAAACACAGAAATGAACCTACAGACCTATAGCCATCTAATCTTCGATAAGTGAGCTAAAAAAATAGAATGGAAGAAAGACAGCCTCTTCAGTAAATGGTGCTGGCAAAACTGGTTAACTACTTGTAGAAAACTAAAGCTAGATCCTTATATATCACCATGCACTAGAATCAACTCCAAATGGATCAAAGACTTCGGAGTCAAAGCAGACACCCTGAAAACATTACAGGATGGAATAGGAGAAACCCTAGGTCTCCTTGGCACAGGCCAAAATTTTCTTTATTTTATTTTTTATTGTGAATATACTGTACAGAAGGGTTACAAATACATGGGCAAGATAAAGAGTACATTTCTTTTTTCGTTTTTTTTTTTTTTTTTTTTGGGTCCGGTTGTGGGGCCTGAACTCTGGGCCTGGGTGCTGTCCCTCAGCTCTTCAACTCAAGGCTAGCGCTCTACCACTTGAGCCACAGCGCCACTTCCAGCTTTTTTCTTTTTGCTTATGTGGTGCTGGGGAATCGAACCCAGGGCCTCATGCATTGCAAGGCAAAAGCTCTACCACTGAGCCACCTTCCCAACCCATGAGTACATTTCTTATCAAGCATTGCATCTTCCTCCTTTGTTTACCCTTCACATCCCTTCCCAGCCTCCCCCCACCCCCCACTTAATCCTCCCCCCCACCAAAGTTGTAAAGTTCTTTTTCCACATGACAACTTGTACTTCTCATTGTTGCAAAGGGTCCACCTGTATCTTTAAACGACTTGTTTTTCCCCTTCTCCTCCACAAATTATACAGACATCAAATATAGTGAAACCAGGGGTTATACTGTGGGGGAGGGACATACAAAGCAACAAAGAAATAATCTTATAAATGGGTTAGAAACAAATGCATGAAAGAAAAAAAAACATTTAAATACATATCTAAGGGTTCATTTTCCTAACATCACATTATCTGACCTTTTCTGCTTGACTCATACGTATACTAGATATTGCAAATAAGGGAAACCATGGGACCTATGTTTCTTGGGCTTGGCTTACTTCACTTAATATAATTTTTTCCAAGCCTTTCCAAGGCCGAAATTTTCTTAATAGAAAGACCCAGAAACACAACAAATCAAAGAAAGGTTGGACAAATGGGATTGCATAAAATTGCAGAGCTTCTGCATGGCAAAGGACATAGCTAGCAAGATTAATAGAAAGCCCACGGATTGGGAGAAGATCTTCACTAGCCATATAATGGACAAGGGTCTCATATCTAAAATATACCTGGAACTCCAAAAAATTTGTTGTTTTTTTAATGGCATTTTTTATTTTCTAGTTTCTGTCTTGCTAATCTACACGTCTAGTATCTTCTTTTCTTCTTTTGTCAGTAAGATTCCTTAAGTATCTTTAACAGTGCTGGCTTAGTAGTCTTAGCTTTGGTGTATCTTGGAAAGTTTTATTTCTCGCTAAATTATAAAGGATACATTTGCCAATCTGGGTTGACAGTTGTCTTTCAGGGCTTGAATTATGTTCTTCCATGCCCTCCTTGTATGTCAAAAATTATGTTGATAAATCTGATATTATTCTGATAGGCTTTCCATTGTGTGTAACTTGTCTTATCTCCTTTGTGGCATCCAGTATTCTTTCTTTAATCTTTATATTTAGTATTTCAACCATTATATGTTTAGGAGTTTTTCCTTTCTGATCTTGGATGTTTGCTAGTCTGTAAGCCTCTTTGACTTGGATGATTTTCTCCAGACTAGGAAAGTTTTCTCCTATTATTTTATCAAATAGGTTCTTGCTAACTTTGTGTCTCCTCTACTTCCATACACATAACTTAGATTTTATCTTACTTTTTTGTATATGTGGTGGTTCTGGGGCTTGAACTCAGAGCCTGGGTTATGTCTCTGAGATTTTCTCCTCAGGTCTAGTACTCTATCACTTTAGCCACAGCTCCACTACCAGCTTTTTCAAAATAGTTAATTGGAGATGAGTCCTACAGACTTTTCTGCCATGGCTGGCTTCAAACTGTAGTAGCTATGATTTACAGGTATGAGCCACTGGTGTCTGGCCTTTAGGTTTGATATTTTGATGGATCCCAAGTGGTCATCTAAATTCTTTAGGTAACTTTATACCAGCCATTAATCAACTCTGGTGTTATTTCTATTTTTATTTTTTGTGCCAGTTCTGGGTCTTTAACTGGGGTTCTGGGCAGTGTCACTGAACTTTTGTGTGCAAGCCTAGTGCTCTATCACTTGAGCCACAACTCCAATTCTGGCTTTTTGGTGTTTAATTGGAGATAAGAGTCTCATGGACCTTCCTGCTGAGGCTGGCTTTGAACCATGATTCTCAGGTTGCAGCCTCCTGAGTTGCTAGGATTGTTGATATGAGCCACAGGTGCCTGGCTGTTTATTTGTAATTATATTCTTAAGATTTCATTCTTCTATTACTGACCCACCTCATGCAATTACAAAAGTTGCCTAAATTTGAGACTTACCAGTATCATGTTAGATGTAGTAAAGTTCACGTGTTCCAGTGGCTTACATCTGTAATACTAAGCTACTAGAAACTGGGCTGAGATCTCAGGTCATGATTCAAAGCCAGTCCAGGAAGAAAAAAATCATGAGACTCTATATTCAATTAACCAGCAAAACTCAAACCAAAACCAAAAAGCATTAACAACCCTAGACTGGAGGTATGGCTGAAGTGTTATAGCAGCAGCTGTGGGTGAAAAACCGAAAAAGACTAGCAAGAGTGCCGGGCTCTATGTTCATAGGTGTGCTGAAGTGGTAGAAAAGCACCTCTGAGTGATAAAGCCCAGCAAGCGTATAAGGCCCTGAGTTCAAGCCAAATATTGACACACACACAAAAAGATACAAATGTTTGTGATTTTTTTTGGTCAGTTGTGGGGCCTGAACTCTGGGCCTGGGCACTGTCCTTCAGCTCTTCAACTCATGGCTAGTGCTCTACCACTTGAGCCACAGCACCACTTCTGGCTTTTTCTGTTTATGTGGTACTGAGGAATCAAACCCAGGGCTTCATGCATGCAAGGCAAGCACTCTACCACTGAGCTACCTTCCCAGCCCCAAATGTTTGTGATTTGACATTGTAATTTTAAATGAAATGCTTTGGCAAAAATAATTGGAATTTAGGGAATAATTTATTTCAAATTCTTTTGTTTCTTTTAAGTATTGAAATGATGTATTTTAATCAGCAAATTTGCAAACCTTATTTGAAACATTTTTGTATTTTCTGTATTTTTATTTACAAATTTTTACAATGAAATTGAATAAACTGGCAAAGGTGTTCATTAACATCAACAATTTCATTACAGCTTTTGTTTATAAGGACAGTCCATATAGAACTTTACAGTTTTTATTACACTTAACATTTACCAAAATGCATTATTAAATAAGTATGGCCATTACACATTTTAGAAGTTTAGAAATGGTAGTTTGTTGCACTATTAATTATTAGCCATTCATTGTATTAACATAGCTAATAGGTCACATTTTATATGGAGTAGTGCTGTAGATGTTATATCCTAACCTTTATTTCTTTAAGTATTTTACAAGGGCATAAGTAGGTTAGCTTTTACGAATAACAGTATTTTTTCAATTTCTTTATTTTGAAATAAAATATAATCTGCCTTTTCAGATAACCATGTTTGTGTCATTTTTCAGACTTGAAAAAGAACGGTTGCTTGCAGAAGATGATGATGAATTGAAGGAAGTAACTGATTTGAGGAAAATAGCTGCTCAGTTATTGAAACAAGAACAGAAGAACAGGTATTCTTTTTATTAATGAATTTTAATAGGTAAATTTTAGAATTATTAAATCAAATTAAAGATAACCAAAATATATTGTTTCAAGTAAACATAGGGCCCCCTTAAGATGTATTTTCAAGCGACTACTAAAAGACAATAAGAAATTCATAGCAGAGGAATATAAAGTTATGTATATAGCAGAGAATATGTTGACACAGTCACTTTATGTGTTTTTGTGGTGGAGCTCAAACTCAGCTCTTGTGTCCTAAGCAAGCAGTCTATCACCAAGGTCTACCCCATCCTACTCTCTATTTTTAAGATCAGTTAGGTATTTATTATTCCTGTGTGGTGAACCCAAACACTTAGTTTATTATTTTATCCAATGTAGCACATAGTTACATTTATACTGTAAGAATTTTTGTAAGTTCATAGCATATTTAGCAAGTATATATTTTGTTTTTTCCTGCTTCTTAGCTTATATATATATTGAGCTCCTTAGAATTGAGCTGCATTAGGTAATGATTGATTAAATCTGTGTGGTGATTTAAGAGCACAAGTTCAGTCTTGTTTTGATCACTTAGGTTATAGTTTTTCCAAAGACATGTCTTTGTCAATCAGAACAACATGGTGAATGAGTATAAAAACAAATGAAGTCCATTTTGAATATAGAAAAGGTTCAAGTACTGCTCAGGGTCAGCTGTTATTATCATCTTCATGTAGTGTGAATAGTATATTTTTAGTTCTGAAATAAAAAAAGATTTTTGAATTTTTGTGAACATTTTAGAGAATAAAATTTGGTACATTTATCAAGGAAAAATATTGTACTTTATGTTTGACATGACAATATTTTGAGAAATGTCAAATTTAAAATACACTGGCATTTGTATAAGTATGCTTTGAAAAATACTGTTAGAATTTACCAGCTGGGTAGGGTGGTGCATGTCCATAGTCCTAGCACTGAAGAATCTGAGATGGTGGATTGAGTGGTCTAGACCAACTTTCACTACATACTGGGACCCTGTCTGAAAACAAACACCCCAAATAAAGGATTCCATTGAAGGTTGCTTTTGTGTCACAGTGATAGAGTGCTTGCCTAGAATATGAGAGTCTTGAGTTCCATCATTAATGTTGTAAGAACAAACAAAAACAAAATCGATAAAATTGATCAAATGACAAATATGTGGATTTTAAGAACCACTTTTTAGGGAAGTCTAGATAAGGGCTAATCAGATAAATCACTATTAAATTAAGTATGACATTTTGCACAGTTACTACACATAGTTAAAAATTTCATACTAGAAAATATTACTTATTTTTTACCCCTTCTGTATATAATTAATCTTCATTCTTAGTTTATGTTTTTCTTGTACCATAACTTTCTGTAAACATTTTCCAATAATTCATTTCTAATGATATTTGTGAATTTTTAAAAAATATTAGTTGGAGGCTGTGTGTACTTTCCTCCCTCCAATATAATCTAATTGTTGACCACACTGTATGTGGCCTAAGAGATTTGATGAAGCACACCACTACCTGCTTTCTGAAACTTAAAGAATAGTTGAGTGTGTATCTCTTGTACCTAGCTGAAGAAAGAGTTGTGTTTAGAATAATAGGAGGAAATACTGATTTTTCAAAATTTTCTTGATATCCTTTACTTCTCATTGTGTTGAGAATGAAAGTACAGGGTTGGGAATGTGGCTTAGTGTAAAGTGCTTGCCTAGCATGCATGAAACCCTAGGTTCGATTCCTCAGTACCACATAAAGAGAAAACTCCAGAAGTGGTGCTGTGGCTCAAGTGGTAGAGTGTTAAGTTTGAGCAAAAGAAGCTCAAGGACAATGTTCATGGCCCTAAGTTCAGGACTGGCAGAAAAAGAATGAAAGTATATGAGTAAATAGTTTTTGATTTTTCCATTCCCCTGTATAATACAGAACATTTTGTTCCTACCATTGTCATATCAGATTTTCATCTATTGCTGTGACTTATCATTGTAGCCTAAGTAGAACATCACTTAATAGCACATCTTCCATAGGCTTTATTTGTATGATAGTTTGTAATTAGCACAAAAAAGCATCCAGAATCGTACCTTGTTCAAAACTGGTACACAGTTATATTTCTTTTGGTTAATTGGCTCTTTAAAAATTAAATCAGATGTTTAATCAGGAGTTTTTAATTTAACTAAAAATTATATGTTATCCGAACTATGTTTTTCTTTAAGAGGTGTGCAAAAGTAATTTCTATCTTTAACTGTTTTTATTAAAAAAATCATCCTTTTTAGATGCTACCAAATATGAACATAAAAACATCTTAGATGAAAATCAATGACCTTAATGTAATATGTCTAAGTTTTGGAGGCATTAAAATATTTTATGAGGAATTTACTTGTATGCTTTTATTCTTAACATTGAGAAAAATATTCATTATTGTAGACTCTTAAAAATCACTATTATCTTCTCATAATGATAAATGCAATATTTTCACCTGGTAGGTCAAGGATATATGATGTGTATATATTTTTTAAGTTTCACAGAGTAGGGGTGGAAGCTATGTAAGTATTAACATAGTCATTATAATTTCTTGTTTGTTAATGTTAATTAGAAATAATTTATATACAATAAGATTAACCTCAAATATCAGGAAATAATAACTAGGACAACTCCTTTGACTTTGTACTGTATTGCTTTAGCTTGCTGCTGTGTGAAGGTAAATGCAGTACTAACACTAGGCTAAAAGCATATATGTATTTCAGAACTAGAGGTAATTAACAACTACTCATTTTGCATTCAGTGATGGTTTTCTTGTAGCTGTTTTGCCATTTGTTTAGTTAATACTATTTTTAAAGTCTTTGTGTTATTAATCGATGGGTGAAATTATCTTGAGTGTAACAAGAGGCCATTGTACATAATTAATAATCCAAAATGGAAGTGGAGACAGAGGAATTGATAGTTCATGACCAGCCTAAGCTACATTTTAAGACTTTGTCCCAAAAAATAAGCAAGCAAACAAATGACTCTAAAAAGTAGTAACCCCAAAACCCAATACTTCAAAACCAGTCTTAAAAATCAATGTTTTAAAAATATTATTCTATGATGAATAAATTTTAGATATTTGTGTAGGTTGTACCTATAGTTAACAATACTGTGTTAAAAACTTAAAAAGAGCCAACAGCCAAGCATTGGTGGCTCATACCTATAATCCTAGTTACTTAGGAGGCTGAGATCTGAGGATTATGGTTCAAAGCCAGTCTAGTCAGGAAAGTCTGTGACATTCTTATGTCCAATTAACCACCAGAAAACTGAAAGTGGCACTGTGGCTCAAAGTGGTAGAGCACTACTCTTGAACAAAAAAGCTCAGGGATAACACTCAGACTGTGAGTTCAAGTCCCACGACCGACAAAAGAAAAAAAAACAAAAAACAATGAGTTAACAGAACCAGCACTGGTGCCTTATGCCTGTAATCCTAGCTATGCAACAGGCTGGGATCTGAAGCCAGCCTGGTCAAGAAAGTCCAGGACACTCTTATCTTCAATTAACCACCAAAAAGCCAGAAGTGGAGCTGTGGCTCAAGTGGTAGAGTGCTAGCCTTGAGCAAAGAAGCTCAGGGATATTCGTCAGGCCCTGAATTCAAGCTCTAGGACTGGCACCATAAAAAGTTAACAGAGTAGATCTTATGTTCAATATTTTTGCCACAAAATACACATTTTTGTTTTCTAGAATGAGAAAAAAATTGTGGCAAGAGATTAGAATAAAATGTATATCAGAATGTCCTCATTTTTGGTGCTAATCATCAAAGGGAGTATTCTTCATATTGATTTGGGAATAAAAGAAAGGAAATTCTGTTAAAAAATAAACAAAATAATACTGGTTTGTAAATTATTGAGCCAGATTTACAAATTTTCATCAGCTCTACTCATGTTGCAGGATTAGTAAATTATCATCTTTCTCTTGTAATAACATTAGAAACGAGACTACTATTTATAATATGATCTTCTCATGTGGATTAAGAAGATGTTCAATATCTTAAAATAGGATTATTGTCTTAAACAAGAATTAAAATATATATATTGGCTTCTGTAATCAATAGCTGATTCGTATTGTATTTTTATGACTTCTGACTTATTCTATAGTACTTTCTGTTTTGTCTTTCCTTTTAATAATTATTTTATTTGCTTTTAGGTGTGTCCTGAGGGTTTTTCTTTATTGTGGAAGGATGTGCTTCTGAGTGTGATATAGATAGATAACAAAAAACAAATATGAAAAGTTAAACAATTAAAATATAATTAAGGATCATGGAATGTAAAATCAGACTGAGAACTTTATTATTTTCATTCAAAATTGTAGAAATTATCACATTATCTGTTTTTTATTTGTTAATATCAAGATTTCAAATTGAGGAGAATCAATTAGACCTCTAGTTTGTTAAAAATATTTGGAGAGTTCTTTCAACTCTTGAAACCTAGCCATTCTTCTTTTCTGCTTTCTTTACTAATGACTTCCTTGTCTTCTCCAAAAACATCATCTTCCTTCTCCCATTTTTTGCTTTGATTGATATATGTGAAATGTGAATATAGATGGAGGCCTTTAAGTTATAGATCATCATTCAGTGACAAACTCTTCCAGAGGACCAGAGCAGCAGGACGGAAATCAAGGTATCTAGAGTTGGTGGAAGCCTTAAGTATTAAGGGGCTAGGTTCATGAAGCTGAATTGTGTAGTCTTACTTAAAATAAGTATGGGACTGTTAGGGAAGTGTGTTAGATAAGTAGATATTTATTTTAACATTGGTTAGTTATCACAGAGTAAAATATAAAATGTTATAAAATATCACACAGGTAAAATTTCCGGTTTATTATATTGTGTAGGAAATGGAACCAACTTTTTTTTGGCTCCAGTATGACTGTTGCATGTCAGTCATCACAATTCTAGTAAGTGTGGTGTGGAGAGTAATCAAATTTTTATTAACTACTTCTGTCCTTTTAATAATTCTGGTAATTTCCTCAGGATAGTACTTATTGCCATTAAAAAAATAAAACACATTATTTTTAACATTTTATTTTTGTTTTCATAGATAAGGAATAACATTTTATTTCCTTTTGCTACCTATAGTCTTCTGGTTTTCGGTATTTAAGGAAATTTTAGTTTATAGCTAAACCAATGGTGATTTCATACCTCACAGTGTCTTCTTAGTGAGGCTATACTAGATCCAAGCTAGTGCGGAGATCTATATAATGGAAATTCGATTGTTTATACCTACCAAGTTCTATTTATGTCATTTTGTATCAATATGTAGTTTAAAATTTTTCTGTATTTTAACCCTTGATATTTGACGATTTCATTTTGGATCACATGTTTTTTAATTCGTTTTTTAATACTAAACTTTAAAATGAAAACTCAAGTCACATTTATTTCTGTAGTGATATTAAAAACTCTTGAATATATAAGTATGCTAGAGAAATATTAATTCATTATTTTGACATTCAGATTATATTTAGAAAGATAAAATTATGGACAAATAGTTCTCTCTTATGTCTCATCATTTTTCATTTTCTTTGTTTTAATTTTCTTCTAATCCAGTTTCATTTGGTTATTAAACATTGTGGATTTTTAAGGGATTGAACTTTAGTAATGGTTTACATTTAGAATTAAAGTTTATTATTGGCTTTTGGCAACATAATTATGTACATGTATTAACATAATTCATATCATTTGCTGTGCTGGGAAAATCAAATCACTTATAATGTTACCTAAAAAGTCTGTATCTCTTTAACATCTGTCTCAGCCACAAATCAGATATATGGCTAGAAGGTATATAAACCTTTAAAAAGGATGTGTAAAAGAAGATGCATGAATTGGTGAATTTCAGTCTTTCATAAATAGTGTGCTTATGGGCATCTGATATAAATAGCATTTAAATATTTTCTAGCAAAGATCTTCATGGACTAGATCAAGTTTATTTTGGAGATATTTCATGTCTTGCATATGTTGTATTCTTTTAGTGTATTTTATAATTAATATGTTGATTTACTTCTAGGATTCTTAATCATTCAACTTCTGTCATTAGAAACAAGCTGAAACAAACTGTGGAATGTGAAAAGAGGTACAAATATATCTTATTCTTTATATTTAGTATTTTATATTGAGACTTGATCTTATAGCAGTTTTTCTTCAAATGGGCTCTAATTGAATAAATTATATAAAAACAATGTAATGAGATAATTTACGATATGTCACAAGTAAATTAAACTTAGTTTTGATATAAACAAAACAAAACTATTTTGCTTAGTCCTAGAATTTGTCTTGATAATAGAATTACCTATTCACTCAGCATATTTTTTGTATTGCTGTTACTATCAGTAATGTGATCTTCCTAGTTGTTTGTTCTTTATGTTACTGTTTACTTTTTGATTATTTCAATTGGATGCTGCATATTTTTTCTATAAGTACATAATCTAAGTCTACATAAACAAATTCTAAAGGAGTAAAAGATGTTGGACATTTTCTTCATATTGCTTTGGTAGTTTGAAAATTTACGTTGGACTCAACTCTTGAGTCATCCCATGGGAGTGTGTAGTTCCAAGTCTGGGCAGAAGTACGGGAAGCACACAGAATTAACATTTGTGGATGCCTGTTACATGTGTACTGTTCTTAATGCTTCCCATGTGTAGTCTCATTTAATCCTCACAGTAACATTAAGAAGTTGTTACTTTTGATTATTCCCATTTTATAGATGAATAAACTTGAGACTCAGAAATCAACAGAAGTTACCTCAAGGTTGCATAGCTAGTAAGAGGTATAATCAGAATTTAAATTCAGACTTGTTTGGTTCAGAACTCTAAGTTTTAATATTAAGTAACAAAGAACACTTCATAGGTTGAAGCCAGTCAGGGCAGAGAAAAGTCCCTGTGAGACTCTATTGTTACCCCCTCTTTTTTTCTCACTTTCCCTCCCCCCCCCCCCCCCCCCGCCCCTGGCTCCCCTTACCCCCTAGTTGTGAAGCTCATTACCAACATATTGTCTTGTGAGTATCGCTGTTGCATTGGTTCACCCTTTGTCCTTTGTCTTACCATTTTGTTGTTTCCCTTCCCTTCCCCAAATCAGATAAATGTATATACAAGATGCAGGATACCAAAATCAAATACAGTGACAATAGGGGATAAACCAAAGGAAAAAAATGAAAGAAAAAAGAAATAACTTCAGACAGTATGTTAAAAAAAACAACAACAAAGAAAAACCTCATGTTTCCATGTACATTTCTATTAGTATCATCTTATATGGTCATATGTACATAGCTATTGAGCTATTGTGATCCTCTGCTAAGACTATCCTAGACATGTACTAATTATTACAAATGAGGGAAACAATGGAGCCTATGTTTCTTTAGGTCTAGCTTAATATGATTTTTTCCATCTTTCCATTTCTTTATGAATTATCTCCAATTAACCACTCAAAAACTGGAAGTAGCACTGTGGCTCAAAATGGTAGAGTGCTATCCTGCAGTGAAAGAACTCAGGGACAGAGCCCAGGCACTTAGTTCAAGCCCCATGAATGACAGAAAAAAATATCTAACTTCTGTTCCGTGCAAGAATGATGGTTCTGAACTATAAATGCAACAGTGCATTTCCCACTTCTTGTTTGCTAGTGTCTTTTCTTTTTATATATTTTTATTTTTTATTTTTTTGGGGGGTCTAGTTGTGTGCCTGAACTCTGGGCTTGGGCACTGTCCCTCAGCTCTTCAGCTCAAGGCTAGCGCTCTACCACTTGAGCCACAGCGCCACTTCCATATATATATATGTATATATATATATATATGTATATATGCATATATGTATATATACATATCATATACATATATACATATATATATTTATAACTTAAACGTTTAGCTTAATTCCATGAGGCTGAGGTGGGTTTCTGCATACCATCAGCATATACAAAAATTCATCATCTTCATTCTTCCACTGGCACCAGTTCAGATTAGGAACAGAAGTACTTTATTTTTTCCAGCATGATTTCATACCTCTGTGTTCTATAATCTTGTCTCTGTGCAAAGATTGCCCCTTTTCCTTCTTTAATTTATGTAATCTTTCATAATCCAGTTCATTTTTCCTCAGCTCTGGTGAGATCTTTATGATACATGTCATCACAATGTTGGGTGATGTTTTGAAGCAATTGATCATGGGGTAAGAGACATTCAGGGCAGGCTCACTTTTTTGAAAGCAACAAATTCTATGGAAACCAATTGGGTCCCACAGCACTATAGCAATCCCTTCCTAATAGACTGCCTCTAATTACCTTGCACTAAGCACCACTTACATTTTTTTTTACCATTTTGTTTTTATTGGTTTTATTTTTAATGTTCCTTTTTATTTAAGTAGTTGTACAAAGGAATTTCAATCAATACATCAATCAGTTTATGAATATAACAAATCTTGATCAATGTCACCCCTTCCATCATTCTCCCCCCATCTCTCCCAACTCTAACCATCTCCTCAAGTTACCTGGTACCATTTTCACAGATGCGCATTGAATATTGTGACTGTATTTGTCCATGATTCCTCTCTCCACTCGTCTACCTTCCCTCCTCCACTTTACCTCCCCTTCTAATAAAATATGTTTCGGCCTCCTGATATTCATTTTTTCGTGCTGGTTCTGGGGCTTGAACTCAGGGCCTGGGTGTTGTCCCTGAGCTTTAGTTCTTATCAATGCTAGCATTTCACCAATTGCTCCACTTTTAGCTTTTTTTTTTTTGTTAATTGGAGATAAGAGTCTCATGGACTTTCTTTCCTTGCACTGACTTTGAACCACAGTCTTCAGATCTCAGTCTCCTGTTTTGCTAGGACTACACTAACATTAGCTACCGGGGCCCAGCTTAAATATTAATTTGTTCAAGAGTTATATCATTGGAATCCTCCCCTATGTATGTATCATAGTTTAGTCATTTTGTTTGTATATATTTCAATGTGACCCTATTTGCTTTCATATATGCTTATAAATTAGATCTAACTTTCACATGAGAGAAAACATGCATCTTTTATCTCTTTGAGCCTGACTTCAGATGACATTATTATTATTATTATTATTATTACATAATTATTGCACTCTTGGCCTCTTTAAGTTCCTTAGAGAAGTTGTATATAAAAAGGTTTATAGAATGTAAACCCATTTTGATATTTACTGTAGACCAAGTTATTAGAAATTTAAATATACTTTGTCAATTGGAAATTTCATGTTATTAGTTTAAAGGCTAGGTTTGCTTACAGTCTTTACATTCCTGTTGAAAAATAAAGGCAACTTTATAATGTTCATAAGCAAAGGATTTTTTTTCTAAATACCTTATCACATAATAAAACATATTTAATTTTTTAGTGTCTCGGCAGATGAAGTTAATTCACCATTATCTCCCCTTACATGGCAGGTAAGAGGAAATTAAATTACTAATATATGCATATTATTTTGGTCTCAATTGGTTAGTTACAAAAAATTATTTCATTATAGCCCTTAGAGAATCAGAAGGATCAAATAGTTGAACAACATTGGCCAGAATCTCAACCTATAATCTGGCAAAGTGAAGAAAGGAGGCGGAGTAAACAGATTAGAAAGGAATATTTCAAGGTACATTATTCAATTTTAAAATTTATTTTGTATTTGTTAATTTTGAAAGTGTCAAGTTTTGGTTTAAGTCAATAATATTAAATTCTAAAGCTAAATATAGCAAACATTTATCTTGATTTCTCATGTATATGTGGAATATATATGGTATTTAATTATATCTATAAAATTTTAGTAATTAAATCATCAAAGCGAGTAGATCAATATAAAGTATGATTTACAAAATATTTTCAATGAAAAATGAATTTTTATTTAGTTATAGCAATTAATGGTATGTTTGGGTTTTAAGAAGATAGAGTCTTACAATGTAGCCCAAAGCTGGTTTACAACTCCTTTTTGTTTTATTTTGTTTTTGCTGTTACTAGGGCTTGAACTCCAGGCCTGGGAATTGTCCTTTAGCTTTAGCTTCTTTTTGCTCAAGACTGGCTCTCTACCACTTGAGCCACAGCTCTACTTCTGGCTTTTGGTTGGCTGATTGGATAAGAGTCTCAAGGGCTTTCCTGCCTGGAGTGGCTTTGAATTCCAACAATCAGTTGTCAGGCTCCCAAGTACTAGGATTGTACTAGTGAGCCACTAGTGCCCAACTGGCTTACAACTCTTAAGCCTCCTGCCTTATCCTACCAAATATAGGGATTTCAGGCTTGTGCCACCATGCCTGGCTCAAGAAAGGACTTTTATTGAATTTGTTTCAACAAATAATTGACAGGTATTTACGATTAGTAGTTAAGTATTTCTATTATGTTACAAAATACAATTTACATTTTGCTAAAATATTTGTGATTTCATCCATTTTCCCCCTTTTTATTATCTTATATTTCTTGAGCAAATCTGTTATCTTACAGGAAACTCCAGAGTATTTGAATTGTCCCAAACCTTTAGTTAGTAGGTGGTTAATAAAATTTTGTTGTATATGTTATTATAAATATTGTGTTATTGTCTTATTTGTATTTAATGTCTGCCATATTCACAGAGATTAATCATCAGAATTTAGGATGATTTTTAGTATTTGCTAGAATTTATTGTTGGAATTTGACTTAAATGAACAGTACAAACAGACTCCTCCTCCATGAATAGCAAATTTTGTTGTCTTGAATCTTTTCTGTTTCCCACAGCACAATTCTTATCTGGTTATACTTTGATTTAAACACTTGTAATTTAGCTAGCTTATAGTCAGTTTTCAGTTCATACCACTAATAAAAAGGATCTGTTTATCTTTTTTCTGTGTAGTAAAAATAGATCTGTCACTTCACATGAATTTTTCTTTGTTTTTTTTGGTGTTTTGTATTTTTAATAAAGTTTGTAATCCAATGGACACACAAAACAAAACTACGCTGAGGAAAACAGTTTCATAAATTAAGAGTGTTAGGAGGTCTGGGACATGAATATCTTTCTATATATGAGAATGTAACAAGTATTTGGATGTTGCATATAACCAAAGCAAAGTGTTACATGTCTTAGCAAATCAGTGACACATTTAACCCTTCAGCAAATAATTACTGGGCATTTTTAACAACACTACTGTCAGTTGGCCAGTATACAATATAAATAAAATAAAGAGATGAGTAAAAGGAAGTCATTCTAAGGAGATCTTTGTTCAGTAATGATGAAAGTAATTTCATCTCAACCCTTTTAGATCTTCACTGAATATTTACAGGGACATATATCGTAAATTTCCCCCTTTTTAGTTCTTGAGACCTTGAGCCAAGAAACTGAATAAAATGTGTTTGTAAATAGAACTTAGATCTAAGAGATCAAATGGTATAATACTTGAAATGACTCTTATATAATCATCATTCAGTAGTTGCTAATTTATTACTTGATAAAGTAGGTGCAAAAATAAGCTTCTAGTTGAGTAGCAGTGGCTCGTGCCTGTAATCCTAGCTACTCAAGAGGCTGATATCATGGTTCAAATCCAGCCCAGGCAGCAAAATGTGAGACGCTTATCTCCAATTAACCAGCAAAAAATCAGAAGTAGGACTGGGACTCAAAATGGTAGAGAGCGCGCTAGTCTTTAGAGCTCGCGCGTGCGTGTGCGCGCGCGCACACACACGCGCGCGCGCGCGCACAAAAACACACACACACACACACACACATACACACAGAACTTCAGTCACTGGAAAGTTTTCAGGAGATGTGTAGTTCTCCTTACTTGTCAGAAGGTGTCAGTGTGAGGACATTGAAAAAATTTAATATGCCAAATTTTTTGTTTTTTGTTTTGTTTTTTCTTCTCTGAAATCAAGAAAAGGTAAAATCAAAGGGGATAAGAGTAGTTTAATGGTAGAACATGTATAAAATATGTGTGGAGCCTTGGGTTTAATTCTTAACATCAGACCCTAAAAAAAGAAAAAGACCAGTATAACATATATTAAGATTTTGTTGTAATCTGAAGTACAATTTGGAATCACCAGTATTTCCATTATTATAGAATCTTCTATTAGTTATAACATGTCTTCTTTCAAAGGAAAAACATAGTTTTCTTTTATTTCATTTTTAAAATTAGTTTTTGAAAATTTAAGTATTGTGCAAAAGGGTTTCAAGACTTTTCTTAATCACCAATATTTTCTAAAAATCAAAACATTTACTTTTACATGTATTATTGAAACTATTTTGATCTATAATTCATTAAGAACAGTAAATATAGTACTCTAGAGATTTTATGAAATTATTTCTGAGAAGTGATGGCTCCTTTACATTGGCAGGGCTATAACATATACAGAGCTTTAAACTAAGCCACATATTTCCTTATTTCTGTTCCATGGTAAATTATTCATAATGCTGTTATTCGTATACTTCTTGAAAGCATCTGCGTATATATGAACATGAGTATGCATACAAAACTCAGATCTCTGTTTTACTTCATCATTGCCAAAAACAATGTCAAATATTTTTTTTTCAGCTGAGTCTCTGAAACTAAGTAAAAAAGATGTAGCATATTGGCTAGATTGTGTGAGCAGGAAGATAAATTGGATTAGATTATTTGAGTAAGTAATCATGGTAGAGAGGTACATTAACTTTTAAATTTTAAATTATATAGAAAACTACTTTCACCAATAAAATTTTGTTTCCTCTGGGCGCCAGTGGCTCACGCCTGTAATCCTAGGTACTCAGGAGGCTGAGATCTGAGGATCACGGTTCAAAGCCAGCCCGGGCAGGAAAGTCTGTGAAACTCTTATCTCCAATAAACCACTAGAAAACCAGGAGTGGCGCTGTGGCTCAAGCGGTAGAGCACTCACCTTGAGCTAAAGAGCTGAGGGATAGCACCAAGCCCTGAGTTCAAGCCCCACAGCCGACCAAAAAAAAATATTTGTTTCCAAACTACTCCTTATTTCATTTTCCAATCAAAATTATTCCCAGAAATATATTGCTTGAGTAAACATACATTACAGAAATTCATTGATGTTCTTTTAATATGGCACATATGAAGTATGAAAATCTAACCTTATGTTGCTATTTAAATTAGTGGCTTTAATTTTTTGTAAGAATAACACATGAATTTCTAAATGAACTTAATGGCTGATTTCTAAACAAAATACCCAATGCACTAGAATATTTACTTAATTTGTTTAAATGCCATATATCCCTTTAAATATATGTGATTACTGTTGAGATAAAACATTATAGTGTCTTAAAATACATAGTGATTTCATAGACTATAATATTTTTATTTAAAGATTAAATCCAAGGAAAATATTTGAAAAGTATTCTCATGACCATTGTCAGCCTTATTTCGGACTAGGAAGACCAGCTGGGTTTATAAACTAACCTGATTTGGTCTCAAAAAGAGTTTTGCACAAGTTATTGTCTTCTATGAAATTAAAATGAATTTCAAAGATGAACTGACTGACCTTTTTGATACACTAGTTTCAACATAGGTTTTTATTGTAGCATCTAAACAGAAATAATAAAACTTTAGTATCCAGTCTAATGGGGGATTGCTTAGTTGACTCAGTAAAAGTTGGACTTGTAGTATACTGTTAAATGTATTGGTTTTAAGGCAAAACTTAGTTTTCATGAATAATGAAGATTTAAATTAGAATAGTGTTTAAGTAGCAATAGTACATTGCCTCTTATCTCAACTCTTGGCTATATCATCTTATGTTTCTTTGCTGTCCAGCTATCCACTCCTTTCTCTTTCTTTACTTTGCATTTGGTAAATATGCCCAAACTTCTACTGTGGGGGAGAAAATAACTTTTTCTTGCTCATTGCAAGGGTCATGGTTGAGACCCATTTGACAACAGACAAATTCATGGGAAAAGTTTAATGTAACATGGGATACTTCAGAAACAAATATTTTAAGATCAAGGGAAAACTAGTTATGCTTCATCTGGTGCAGGAGGTAGATAGCTGTGCAAATAGTGGTGTGAACTGATGGTAATCAACGGAGGGGACTCAGCAAGGCCTGTTTGTTCAGGCTCTTTGCTGTATCTCTGTGTGACTTCCATTCTTCCCCACTATGTGAGGGAGACATGTGACATGGAACCTGTGCATGTGACAGTATTAGGAAAAGAAGGCAGCAGGTCAAATGAACTGATCTTTATAGGTCTTTTGTCTTGCCATAGGGTAGAGGAAGATATTTTCTATGACTTACAGTGTGGGAGAAAAATAAGGTGAAGAAAAGAGAGCAGGTTAGAGAATGACCTCCAGGTTATTACAGTTTGTGTAGTGTTTTCTGAGTTCCAACACTACCGCCCTCCCAGACTCCTGCTTCAGTAGATTCCTTTTGCTAGCAACAAATTTGCCATTTATAATTCCTCAGTTTTTTGTACATTTTTTATTGTAAAAATGTTGTACAGAGGGATTACAGTTACATGAGCAAGGTAATGAGTACATTTCCTATTGAGCATTGTTGCCTGCTCCTTTCTGATGATTCTTTTTTTTTTTTTTCTCACTGGAATCTGGCTCTCACTTCAGTTTCTTCATTGAACTGTCCTTCACTAGAGGTTAATGTGAAGTACTAATGCCAAATCCAATCTAGCATTTGACAATGATGGCCATATTTTCTTCATCCTTTCTTGGTTTCTATCCCATTTTCTTCTCTGATTATTCTTCCATTATCTTCTTGATGTTATTTCCCCTTTTCTTTATGGTACTGGAGTTTGAACTCAGAGTTTGCACTTGCCAGATAGTCTCCCTACTGCTTGTACCATACTTCCAAACCTTTGCACTCTAGTTATTTTTAAATAGTATCTCAATTTTGCCTAGACAAGCACTGCAATCCCCCATTTATGCTTCCTGTGTCCCTGTAACAGGTGCATGCCAGTACATCCAGCATTTTTTTCTGATGAAATGGAGTCCTGCAAATATTTTGTTGCCTAAGCTGGCCTGGAACTGTGGTCATCCTGATTTCAGCCTTCAGCACATGTGCAGTGCCATACCTGCATTTGGATTGAGATGGAATTTTGTGAACTTTTGGCCCTGGCTGTCATTGAATAATGTTTCTCCCATTTTCCATCTCTCAAGCAATTAGGATTATAAGCGCAAAACACTGGTGCTCAGTATTGATGTTCTTGTTTGATTTCTCTTCTGACATTTTTCTACTTGATTTTAATGTCTCTTTTCCTTTTTAATTACTCTTAAAGCTCTATGTTGAGAGTTGACTCCACATGTTTTTTTAAATATTCTACTTGGTTTGAATTTGTATTCTATTATTCTTTTCTGGTTTCCACACTTGTGTTTCTAATTGCTTGGATGTCTTACATGTATTTTAAATTCAATATGCCTCTTCCTCATAATCCCCATGATAAAACTTACTTCTGTTTCTGTAAGGGCAATATTTCCATCTTCTTTCATTCTTTCACTTTCTTGTCCCCCTTACCTGATTGGTCATCAAATCTGCTAAATATATATCCTTTTTAAAAAAAATTATTTCTATCTCTGCTATCCTTGCCTTGTTGTAATCTTTTATGCATTCTTGTCTTTATAAGTATAATAATTTCTTAATCTCCCCCCTTTTACAAACCTTGGAGAAATCCTCTGGCTCTTTATTGGCTCCCTACTACAAACAAAATAGTTTGGACTACTTGACATTTTTTGTGAGATGTTTCTTACCTAATTCTTACATTTCCTTACTTCCCTCAATTCACTTTCTACATAGCCTTGGTGAAAAAAATTGTGTGTGTGTGTGTGTGTGTGTGTGTGTGTGTGTGTGTGTGTGTGTGTGTATGTGTGTGTGTGTTGGTACCTGGGCTAGAGCTCAGCTCCTCTTACTGAACTGTTTAACTTACAGCCAGTACTCTACAATTTGAACTATGCCTCTGGTCTGGCATTTTTACTGGTTAATTGGAAATGAAGTTTAGTGAATTTTTCTTCCCATGCTTCTAACTGGAATCCTCTGATTTCAGCCTCCTGGGTAACTAGCAGTGCAAGGGTGAGATATCAGTGCCCAGTTCCTGAACTACTATTGTTTTCTACGTTGGCTGTGTGTTTTTCATTTCTATTTGTTTTCCATATTCTGAAAATACATGCTGGCCCTTTTATTTCTGGCAAACTCTTACTAAACATACAGGTTTTAGAAATGGGTATGTAGCATATTGTCTGAGCTTCTAGAACCAAATCACTTGACTCTTATTCCTTAGATGGATATCTACTAATTGTTCGGCAAGCCGTGTTACCCTTCTGAGCTTACTATTATTATTGTTGTTGTTGTTTTTGTCTACAAATAAGTCACAGGATTGTTATAAGTATTAAATTCTTTATTAAGATACAGTTCTTAGAATAGCACTTCACACAACAGAATCACTTAATAAACATTAGTCCATTGCTCACTCAAATGTCTCCATTTTATTGAAATAGACTAGAACCAAAAATAATTACCTCAGATAACCTCTTACCTAGGGATGCCAATTTGTTTTTACATACCAACTTCATTTAGTGGCTAAAAGTTTCCAAGGCTACATCTGGGGTCAGTGGGAAAGAAATGCATACTGGTAGAGTAATCATAGTTGTCAGAGGACAGACACTGTTGAAACATATGTTTTGTATTTGTAATTTCTAAGACAGCTTACTGTGCAGCTTGTGATTGAGACATCAGATAGGTTATCTTTTTCAAAGTTTGGATATACTCTGAAAATAAGTAAATTTTCTGACTTGGCAGTCATGAGCTGCCAAGTAGAAAAATAATCCATTAACAACTTGTAGGAGAAATCAGGTAATTATGAGGAGGAATCGAAATTAATTCCAACAGCCTGGCACTCTAGCTACTCAGGAGGCTGAAGTCTGAGGATTTCAGTCAATTCCTGGCAGGAAAGACCATGAGACTCCAATTACCAAAAAAGTTGGAAGTAGAGCTATGGCTTAAGTTGGTAGAATTCCAACCTTGAGTGAAAAAGCTAAGGGACAATGCCCAGACCCTGAGTTCAAGCCTCAGTACTGGTATATATACACACATATACACACATAAAAAATAAGGAAAAGAAAAGAGTACAAGTGGATATCATACTGTATTTTCTTATTCTTTCTTAGAAACAATTGTGTTACATATTAACATATTTTATGTTGATCATGTTATCTCTGAAATCACTGTAAAAGAAGGATATAGTGTAGGCTGGGAAGGTGGCTCAGTGGTAGAGTGCTTGCTTGCCTTGCGTGCATGAGGCCCTGGGTTCGATTCCTCAGGACCACATAGGCAGAAAAAAAACTGGAAGTGGTGCTGTGGCTCAAGTGGTAAAGCGCTAACCTTGTGCTGAAGAGCTGAGGAACAGTGCCCAGGCCCAGAGTTCATCCCCCATGACCGACAAAAAATAAAATTAAAGAAAATGTTAAAAAGACGGATATAGTATGGAGGCAATAATACTGTTATGAAGATTAAATGGATTAAAATATGTATAAAGCATCTTATACTAGTTTGTAACAAGCACTAGTGTATTATCAGCATTATTATTGAATAGTCAATATTATGTGCAATGTAGTGTTTTATAAAACTTGAAATGATTGGATTTTTATCTTCTTTTGGGGGGGGGGTTGAGATGTGAAGATTGAACCCAGTATTGTCACATGCTAGGCAAGCACTCTACATTTAAACTATATACCTCCCCACAATTCAGATTTCTTAATAATAGATGAGATATAATGAGGGTGTAGCATAGGATATTAGCTATAATGATGTACAAGAAATAAGTATGAGAGAAATTTAAAAAGAATTGACTTGATGGACTATTGGATATAGTAAGTCATGGAAGAACTCTCAGATTATGAAACTGAATGAATGGGAAATGGGATTGTAGGAAGGGAACATTACTTGATGTATTGAAAGTACTTAGAAAATTGTCTTGCACATAGCATTATACAGATTAATTTGCAGTGGGACTGTTTAAACTGATTATATATCTAAGTTTAACATCAAGTGATTCAATAAAAGTATAAAATAGGAATAAGCCTTACATAATTTACAACCAGAGAATTTAGATGTTCAAGGAAAAATAAAGTATATGTTTATATATTTTTCAGTATAAATCCACAAGGAAGAGTTCAAGTGTCAATGAAAATGATGAGGTAAGAACAAGAGGGTAATATTAATAGTATTTGAAATGTTGACTTGTGATATTTATTTGACTCAAGTAAATGCAACTCATCTTATAGTTTCTTTACTAGTGATTTAATTGATAAGAAACCTGAGTATCATAAAATAATCAATTAATGATGTGATTTCCATATGTTCTTCAAAATAGAATTGGTAATAATTATTGAATATTATTATATCTATAATCTGTGAATTTAAGCTTGTTATCTTTCCCCAACTTTTTTTTTTTTCCTAAATCATCTTGGTAATCAATTGAGATTTTCCAGATGAACTCCTTTTACAAACTCTTCAAATTTGTGTTACTATTTTAAAATGTTAAATTAAATTTGGACAGGTTAAACACTGCTGTAAGTTTTCTATTATACTAGGTTAATCCTTGTAGTAGTATAACACTGTCAAAGCAAGAGATCTTTTCCCCACAAATACCTAAGCTTACTTATTTTTTCCCTGCAGAAATTTGTAATTAATTTGATTTTGGGTACTTGACAGGACTTCTGAAAATGCCTTACTTAAAAAAATTCATCTGCAAGTATTTATTTAAAGTTACAATTCAGTGTTTCTATAAGCAGTTAGGACAGTTTTTTTGCCCATTGATAAAGATTATCTTGACTTTCCAGGAATCTAAGCTACAGGATCAGTTGTTGGTCAACAGCTCAGTTCCTCAAACAGATATCTGATTTCAGGTTATTCAGTAGTCTCCTGCTTTCCAGTTGTTGGAACATTTCCTTTGTGATACTCCTTTTGATGTACCTTTATTTGTGTGTGTATGTGCACACATGCTCGTACGCGCCAGTCCTGGGACTTGAACTCAGGGAAATGCCTTACTTTTAAGAATTAAAAATCACACAGGGGCTGGGAAGGTGGCTCAGTGGTAGAGCGCTTGTCTTGCATGCATGAGGCCCTGGGTTTGATTCCTCAGCACCACATAAGCAAAAAGAAAAAAGCCGGAAGTGGGGATGTGGCTCAAATGGTAGAGCGCTAGCCTTGAACTGAAGAGCTGAGGGACAGTGCCCAGGCCCAGAGTTCAGGCCCTATGACTGGACCCCCCCCCCCCAAAAAAAAAGAATTAAAATCACACAAGAAAAAATAATGAACACAACCTCATGGTTTACCTTTCCCCAGACCAAATACCAGTATCTCTCTATACCCTTTCCAGTAGTATTAACTGGGATACAAAAAAGACAGTTTTAAGCCGGAGCTGGTGGCTCACACCTGTAATCCTAGCTACTCAGAAGGATAAGATCTAAGGTTCAAAGTTCAAAGGTAGCCCAGCAGGAAAGTCAATGAGACTCTTATTTCTAATAAACTGCTCAGAAAAAGCCTAAAGTAGTGCTATGGCTCAAGTGGTAGAGTGCTAGCCTTGAGCACAAGGAAGATCAAGAATAGTGCCCAGGCCGAGTTTAAGCCCCAGGACTAGCAAAAAATAAAAAGCCAGTTCTGCCAAAACCTGTCTACCTTTTCACTGTTATTATCTGTGGTTAATCCTGAATGACAATTGTGTGTGTTTGGTAATAGTTACCCATCTGTGAACACAATCAATTGCTATATACCTGCCTATTACCTTTACTGCACTGAGGCCTGCGAGATAGGTTTGTTCCTTAAATTTTTTAGTTCCTTACGTTATGTTCAACTGCTTGGTATCTCATGTGAGGTTTACCTGCTCAATAAACAACATTGGTACATGCTGATACCTCTGGGGTTTATGTCTCTCATTGAGACTGACCTCTGTGAACCTCAAACCTTTGTAATCTTGTCCCCATCCATTTTCTTACATGCTTACATTCTCTGCTTTGAATCTATTGTGGTAGCTCTCCCCACTTTCTCTAGTTCATTCACCTCACTGAAGCCAGAAGGATTGTTTCAAGGAACACAAATATAATCAGGTTATTTCCTTGGTTAGAAACATTCAGCCTCTTTCCATTTACTTTAAGGTAAACTCTAGACCATGTTTGATCAAGGGCCTGTTTACCACATCAGCTTGAACTCATAACTTGCTCTCTTTTCTTTGATGTTACTCTTGGTACTCAAAGGTTTTATTTTTATACTAACATTTCCATTTATTTCTTGTGTCTTTGTTTTTATTCTTTGTTGCAAAAGATTGTTTCCTTCCATCTTTTTCTGATAAACTTAGTTGTTTTTTTTTTTTTTTAAAACTGAGGCTTGGGTTACTTTTTATGATCCTGTGTTGTTCAGTCTGGTCTTGAACTACTGGGCTCAAACTGTCCTCTTGCCTCCATTTCCTGAACAGCTGGGACTATAGATGCAGCACCATCACGCAAGCTTTTACTAAGTTTTTATTTTTTCATGAAACTTGTCCTTTTTACATCACCCTTGACAATCTCCTCAAATTACTCTATGTCTCATAATACCCCATGAATAGTCTAAGATTCATGTATACATGAATCTGTTTTCCCTCTGGATTTAGAAATCTTTAAAGTGGATATTTTACAAAATTTCAGCGTTCCAAATGTCTAGCAGAGTCTAACATAGCAGGTGGCCAATAATCATTCATTGAAGGAATAAATGCCATTTATGATATGCATATTCTAGGATAAAGTCAAGAAATTTATATTTGGGTGTCAGAATAGTCCTCAAAAATTGAGAACTATTTTTATTTAATGTTTTCACCAATTAAATTCTTTGTAACTATTCTTAATTTTATATTGGCACACATAATTTTCCAAATAAAGTTTCTTGTTTCAGGTGGTAGAACGATTGTATGCCTTCATTTATGTGTCTCCAATTGTAGTGTATTGTTCCCATTGTGTATAGATAGTACTTCTCAAACTTTGAGTACTTATGAGTCACTTGGGGATCTTATGTAGGTTCTGATTCAGCATTGGTTGGAGCCTTCTTCAGAGGATACCTATGCTATAGGTTCACAGACAATACCTTGAGTGGCAAGGTACTAGAAGATATATTCACATTCTTACTTTAGCAGCTGATCAAAACAGTTTTCTGTTTCATGTGTTTAAATCATCATTTCATATTTTAATTTCATTTTTCATTGTTTATTTTTATATTTTAGCAAGACAGTGATAATGCTAATATGTCACCACAATCTCCAGTATCATCTGAGGTACAAGTTCCGTTTTTATATGTTTTCTATGTTTGTATGTTTTCATATGTTTTCTGTATTTTACATAGGGTTCTTTCTTGCTTCTCTGTAATTTCATCTTTTTTGTGTGCCAAGTAATTTATTCACTTCTATTTTAAAATCTATGTTGTAGATTATTTTTTACCAACCTTCAAATCTATAAAAAAATTAAGAATACCATTTCTTTGTATAAATATTCAGAGTAAATCTTGTGACTTTCTGTGAAAATTATGTGTAGGTCACAGTAATCACTTTATGAAAGGTATACTTTCTAATTAATCGATATTTAAAATTTTTAACAATAGCTTTGAAACTTTAATTTGAAAAAAAGCACTTCAGCATTGTTCAATGGCCTTTGGTTTTCTGGGTAACCAGTTAGGTCTGAAAACAATGCAAGAGTAAACTTCCTTTTTCCACGAGAATCATCTCTGCAGTGGGATGTTCCTATCGACAAAAGGTTACATACACATTTCCTGTCTTCTTACATTTAAGGGGTAGAGAGAATAGGGAACATCTTGATCAAATACTCAGATTGTTTGAATGACTGATTCTTCTACTTTAATCTAAACTTTTTGGTTTACCACAAGAGATTTCAGTATAAAACATTCTAAAGAATATTTCTTTTACTTCAGTTCACTTTATTTAGTGTTCTAAAATGCATTTACATTAGTAAATAAATGATTATATATTAAGTGTTTTAAGACTTTATCTACCTTTTTGATTATATAAATTTGATCATGTGGATTTTCATTCTGTGTTAGTGGTAAGTGGTATTACTTTTTTTCTTTAAGAAAAGCAGGCTTCCTACTCTAGGGTGTTTAGTGACTTGCATTATTAGTCTATTATATGAATTATTGCTTGAATTTAGAAATAAACATTTATTTAGAAATAATTATTTATAAATTATTTGCATGGAAGATAAAATGACATGTATGCTTTCAGAAAACAATTTAAATTTGAATATCCTAAAATTAGTGTTGCTCTTTTACTTTTAAGTTATATCAAATATGCATGACTGCCACTTGTTTATATGGTTTTACTTCAGGATTTTATGGTCTGAAATCACATGGGAGAGTAATAGTGCCAATTTTCTCAGATAAGTTGTATTATGCTTATAAAATTTTTCTTGCATTAGAATAAATAAAATTTTTATCTAGCAATTCATAAAAATTTAACCATGATAATGAAGACAATCTGTAAAGCTATGGTTAGATAAGACGATAAGCCTGTGTTTTGTAGTTCAACTAACATTCAGCTTGAATAATATACTGCGTATTAATCAGAACATTCAGATAATGTACACTCTTCTGATTGCTTAAATTTAATGTGTAAAGAAAATGATAAAACCAAATTGTGTTCTGTTTTAACAAAGTAAACTTAAAGTATCCTTATGCCTGCTGAAGAGATTAACTTTTCAAGAAAGTCCAGAGAAGTGACTAAAGTCTCATTAACCTACTTCTTAGACATGCTACACAGAATAAGTGAGATGTTGCTAAGTTTGCATTAATTGATCCGTTTATAATTTGCAATATATTTTCCTTTACCTAAGTTAATCTTCATACCAACTGCACCTAAAGGTTGAAGAATCAATCACAGAGATTTTTAATGTTCAGAACATAGCCACATTTTTCTGAGTCAAAGCTCAGATTTGTTTAACGTCTTTCCAAAGCACACCATTGTATGAAAGCATGTTGAGACTATGTGCAATGATATAACAATTTATCCAATCTGTTATTATCTATCTTCTACTAATATAAATATGTGGATTTATCCCAAATTTTAATTTTCCAGTCTTACATGTCAACAGTAGGTAGATACTGAGTAGATATTAATAAATCCATATATTTTTAATGAAGTATTCATTATTTTGAAATATTTGATCCAGTTTTTTTAAAAAAGAATCTGATTGATACACTTTGTTAATTATCTTTTTCATTTGTCTCATAATATGAGAGAAAAGTATTTAAAAGAATATGTAGTTAGCTGGGCACCCATGGCCCATGCCTGTAATCCTAGCTACTCAGGAGGTTGAGATCTGAGGATCGAGGTTCAAAGCCAGCCTGGGCAGGAAAGTCCGTGAGACTCTTATCTCCAATAAACCACTAGAAAACTGGAAGTGGTGCTGTGGCTCAAGCGGTAAAGCACTTTCCTTGAGCTGAAGAATGCAAGGACAACTCACAAGCTCAGAGTTCAAGTCCCATGACCAAAAAAAACCCAACAATATATAGTTCTGTCCAAGCAAATATTTATTGATGGTATAAAGGTAAAATTTATCAACCTGAATTGACATGTAAATTTCTTTCCTCTCTTCCACTAATCATGGAAACATAATACTTTATAAAATTGGCATGGATATGATTATTCCTTGGTTTTTTTAAACAAAGGGATTTTGTTTTCTGTTTTTAGGAGTATGACAGAACAGATGGTTTTTCACATGGTCCCTTTGGCTTAAAGCCTCGATCAGGTAAATGCATATTCTGTAAATAAAATGTATTGGCTGTGTTGAAACTGTAGTTTCCCAGCTTAAATGCAATTTTTCCATAGTTTTAAGTACAAATAGATTCTTCCCCCCTCCTAAAAGTAATTTTCTCTTAACCTTCTTTGTCTTTCCAATTTCCATTCCCATTTCCTTCTTCCTCTTCAAGCTCCTGAAACCTGTTTTTTGCCTTAGATACATGGCAGTCTTATTTCCACTCTACTGTGACTACTGTTAGAATGACCACTCTGCCAGTAGACCAAACACTGTTTGAAATTATAGCACGCCATTATATTGTGATTTTAAAAAGGGATCTTTTTGCATTTGGCAAGCCCAAAAGGAAATGGATCCATGTTACTTGGAAAGGTATTGACTTATAGTTTTTATTCCTGAATAACTATATTGACCTTCAACAATAATTTCCTTTTGTCTTTAAACATGACATATATTCAATAATCATTTTTAACCTGGGACATATGTTTCTAATAACATGTGTTTAAATAAGAACATGTGTAAGTGGTAGAAAGCATTACACCTGTGTTCCCTATTGATTTCAGTTATATAGACAATTCTTATAACTACTTAAAATATTTAGAATGTTCTAATAAGTAATCACGTTTTATGTAGTTTTGCACTGATTCTTTTTTTTATTTTAATCATGCTTCTTTCTCCATCAGTGGTTGCTCCTTTGATTAGCTTTGTAACAATTTGGGATATTCCTGTTTTTTTATAAAGCTTTTAGCCGCTCATCTCGCCAAGAATATGGAGTAGCAGATCCAGGGTTTACAATGAGAAGAAAGATGGAACATTTACGGGAAGAGCGAGAACAAATAAGACAGCTTCGCAATGTAAGTCACATTAACTTTTCAGATCTACTTCATAGAAATATGTTAAACCTGGCAAATTAACAAGGTATATGTGTATTATTGATAATGTATATTGATATTATTTGATGTTCTCTGATTTTGGTGCATCATATAACAGTAATATAAATATGTACCATATTTAGATAGAATATTTGTGACTTGTACCCATTTCTTTATAGAATCTTGAATCCAGGTTAAAAGTAATTTTGCCTGATGACATTGGAGCTGCATTGATGGATGGGGTTGTTCTTTGCCATTTAGCCAATCACATAAGGCCACGCTCTGTAGCTAGTATTCATGTACCTTCACCAGCAGTGGTAAGTTGTGTCTTCAATAGTTCTCCAATGGAAGATACAGCTTAACTGTTTAAATAATATTCCTTAATGAATTCAATTTTCAGTTTTGATTGAGTTATATAATAATAAATACCTGAAAATATTTCTCCCCATTTACTTTAACAGCCCAAGCTGAGCATGGCAAAATGTCGAAGAAATGTAGAAAATTTTCTTGATGCTTGCAAAAAATTGGGTGTTTCACAGGTAATATTTATCTAACAAAAGTTCATCTAAGTATTAATTTATTCTATGCACAGTAAAGTCTTCTTCATAGTAGCAATGAGTAACATTTCCAGAATATGTAAATGAATAGTTTCTTTTGGTACCTTCTAGTAGGCTCCAGTAGGTAATCACAGCAATTATCTAATAAATGCTCTTAAACTTTTTAAAACATTATTTATAGAACAGCAACCTGTATGTGCCAGGCTATGAGGGAGCCAGGAAGTGAGACTTATCTAAAAAGCAACCAGCAGAAATCAGGGGTAGAGCTGTGGATCAGCCCTAAGAATACTTTCTTAAGCAAGCAGAAGGACCAAAGTTCAAGCCCCAGTACTGCCAAAAAGAACAAGATGTTAATTGTGACTACCATTCAACGTATACTAAAGATTTTTTTAGCAAGAGCAGTTAGGCAAAGTGAAATGAAAATGAAAAACACATAGATTGAAATAACAGAAACAAAGTTATGTCTATTCACAGATAATATGACTTGTAAAGAAACTATTAGAACTGATGATTTCAGAAAGGTTGTAGAATAAAACATTAATACAGCTAAATGCCCATGGTTCCTGTTTGTAGCCCTAGCTATTCAAGAGACTAAGATCCAAGGATCTCAATTTGAAGCCAGCCTGGGCAGGAAAGTCCATAAGACTCTTAACTCCACTAAACTAACAAAAACAAAGATGAAAATAGAGCTGTGGTTCAAGTGGTATAGTGCTAGCCTTGAGCAAAAAGAAGGTCAGGGACAGAGCCTAGGCCCTGAGTTCAAGCCCCATGACTGGCACAAAAAAGATTAATACATGTATACTGTTAACTAATGATTTTTCATAGATGTCCTTTTGTGTATTTGAGGAGTTTTTCCAAGTGCATTTTGTTTTGGTTTATGGGTATGCAGTCTTCTGCACAACATTGGTATAAAAGCTTATTCTCTTTCTGTTTGCCTAATTTTTCATTTGCATCAAACAGTCCTTTTATTGCTTGATGAGGGCTCATAACTGAAATCTTAGCTACTTCAGAAGGTAAGATTGTTGGGATTATAGTTCTAGGCCAGCCCTGGAACATAAAGTCAGCAAGACTCCTCAGTGAAGAGCTGGACATAGTGACACACTATCCTAACATAGGTAGGGAACCTGGGAAGAAAGCAAAATCCTATTTCAAAAGATACCAACAGAAAATAGATCTAGCAGCACAGCTCCAAAGTTAGAGTGCCTGCCTAGCAACTGAATACTGGAATTCAAACCCCAGTCCTTTGGATTAAAAATAAGCAACACTAACAAAATCAGAGTATTTGTCCATAAATGTATAGTCTTGATGTTTTGTTGTTTTACTTCATTAACCTTTTTGCCTCTCCGTATTTACAATGGTAAAATATTTTCTTGCTTATTATAGATTTTGAAATCAAGTAATACTAGGTATTTATTTATCTTGGTACTTTTTTGTGTGCCAGTACTGGGGCTTGAACCCAGGACCTAGGTGCTGTCCTTTAGATTTTTTTATTCAAGGCTAGCACTCTACTACTTAAACCACAATTCCACTTCCAGCTTTTTTGTGGTTAATTGGAGATATAAAAATCTCATGGGCTTTCCGGCCCAGGAGATCTTAGCCTCATGAGCTGCTAAGATTATAGGCATGGGCTACCAGTGCCTATCTGTAACTTGGTACTTTTTAAAGCTATTTTGGCGCGCGCGCGTGTGTGTGTGTGTGTGTGTGTGTGTGTGTGTGTGTGTGTGTGTGTGTGTGTGTGTGTGTGTGTGTGTGTGTGTGTGTGTGTGTGTGTGTGTGTGTGTGTGTGTGTGTGTGGCTTGAACTCAGGGCTTAAGCACTGTCCCTGAGCATTTTTGTCAAGGCTAACACTCTATCACTTGAGCCACAGCTCCACTTCCATCTTTTTTGGGGTAACTAATTGGAGATAAGAGTCTCTCAGACTTTCTAACTGTGGCTGTCTTTGAACCAAAAGACATATATCTCAGCCTCCTGAGTAGCTAGGATTATAGGTGTGAGCCATCAGTGCTCAGTTATTTTTGAATCCCTTGAATGTCCATATAAATTTGGAACACTTACAAATTGGTCAACTCCTACAAGAAAAAATTGTTTGGATTATTATTATAGAAGTTTTGTTTAATTGAGATAACAGTATAGATAATATTATATAATAATATCAAGTATTTCTTCCATGAACACAGTGTATCCTTACTTGGATCTTTTTCAATTCCTTCAACGATGTTTTGTGATTTTCACTTTGTAGATCTTGCATAGGTTTCCTTAAGTATTTCATATTTTCATATTTTGCATGCAATTATATATGTGGTTTAATTCTAATAACTAAAAAAATCCTTTATTTCTAATAGAAAATACATTTGGAATTTATGTATCAATGTTTTATTAAACTCACGAATGAGTTCAAGTGTTTGTTGTCAAATTTATAGAATTTTCTTTTTTTTTTTTTTTTTGGGTCTGGTCATGGGGCCTGAACTCTGGGCCTGGGTGCTGTCCCTCAGCTCTTCAGCTCAAGGCTAGCGCTCTACCACTTGAGCCACAGTGCCACTTCTGGGTTTTTTTCTTTTTTGCTTATGTGGTGCTGAGGAATCGAACCCAGGGCCTCTGGCATGCAAGGCAAGTGCTCTACCACTGAGCCACCTTCCCAGCCCCAAATTTATAGAATTTTCTACATTGATGTTTATATTTTCTATGAATTCCAAAAGCTTTCTGATATAAATGCTTTTTAATTCTTTTTTGTCAACTTTCCCAGCCCAGTTTCCCAGTACAATATTGAGGAGAACTAGTCAGAATAGACATCTGGATATTCTTCTTTTATTCCTTAATTTTTTTTCAAAATTCCATTAGTTGTGAGTTTTTCATACATAACCTGTATGAAAGGGAATTTCCTTCTGTTCATAGTTTGGAAAATTCCTATCAGGGATGGATAATTGGATTTCAGCAAATGGTTTTTCTATTTTAATTGGTGTGATAAAACTATTTTCTTTGCAATTTATTTTTATTAGTGTATACTAGTTGTACAAAGAGGTTGCATTGTTTTCCCATGCATGAACATAATGTTCTAACTCAATTTTTTATGTTTTCATGTTCCCTGTCTCTCTCCCTTTAAACAATTTTAACTTTATTATTCTATTTTCATATATACATACGAAGTACTTCAATCATAATTGCCTCCATTACCCTGTTCTTTTGCTTCAACCCCCTCCTCTCCTTTGCTAGTTTTTTTTTTATTATTATTTTATTTTATTTGTGAACATACTACAGAGGGGTTACAATTACATGGGCAGGATAATGCATACATTTCTTACCAAGCATTGCAGTCTCCTCCTTTCTTTACCCTTCACCTCCCTTCCCAGCCTCCCCCCTCCCCCCCCCACCCAATCCTCCCCCCCCCCCAGCCGACATTGTAAAGCTTGTTTTTGACATGACAATTTTTACTTCTCATTGTTGCAACAGGTCCACCTGAATCCTTAAACGATTTGTTTTCCCCATCTCCTCCACAAGTGCTAGTTTTGTTTTATACTGTTACTTTTGTGTGTGTGAGAGTCTAGATTGCATATGTATAAATTATGTGATATTCTTTCTCAGTCTGGTTAATTTCACATAACATGATATTCTCCAGTTCCAGTTCCATCCTTTGCTCCAAAAAAATTTAATTCTTCTTTAAATAATTTTCTATTGTACATACATACCACACTTTATTTATCCATATATTTGTTGATGGACATGTATACTGAGTCCATAGTTTGCCAATGATGAATAGTGTCATTACCAACACGTTGGTAATGTGTCTACTGAGTTCTATTACTTTGGCTATCTGGCCAGGAACGGTATAGCAGGATTACATGGGAATTCTAATTTAAGGTCTTTTGTTTTGAAAGTTTATACTGATTTCCATAGGGTCTGTACTAATTTATATTCCCACCAACAATGTATAAGTCCTGCTTTATCGTCACAGCCATTTGTTTAGTTTTTTTTCTTTATAACTGCTGTATTCACTGCAACAACATGAAATTGCGGTGACATTTGATAGCATTTTCTTTATGCCTAATGAACATTTCGTCTTGAGTTTATTACTTATTTTACTTGTTTTTATAATGTTGATTTGCCAATTTATCAATTGGAACTTCAACTCTTTACATCTTTTGGATATTAAACCTTTAGCTGACTGATCAAGATTTCTCCCATTCTGTGGGTTATCTCTTTGATGTGCAGAAACTTTGTAATTTCATACAATTTCATATGTCAATTCTTAATGTTATTTGCTGAGCTATTAGATTCCTATTCTGAAAATCATTGCTTATACCTATAATCTTCAAGTATTTTCACATTGTAGTTTTAAAATTAGATTAATTTCCAATACATGTTTTGGCTCCTTTGTCAAAATCAGATGGATACAGCTGCATCCAGTGCAGTTATTTATGAATTTTTGTATTCTAGTTCGTTAAGTTACGTATCTCTTTTATGTCAGTACCATACTGATTTTGGTACTGTGGTTCTGTAGTGTAGTTTTCAGCCTGGTATTGTGATCCCTCCAAAAATACTGTTTTAGCTCAGGCTTATCCTATTCAAGGTCTTTTATGTTTCCATATAGATTTTAGGATTGATTTTTTTTATTTCTGTGAAGAATGAAGATTTTTGGATTGCCTCTTCTATTTCCTTGAAGAATGAGGTTGGAATATTGATAGGTATTGCATGAATTAGCCTTGGGAAGTATTGCCATTTTCACGTTGATCCTTCCAATTCAGGAGCATGGGAAGTTTTGCCACTTTCTAAGTTCTGTTCTGATTTCCTTTTTCAGGTTTTTAAAGTTTTCATCATAGAGGTCCTTCACTTCTTTGGTTAAGTTAATTCCTAGGTATTTTATTTTTTGTGGGGCTATTACGAATGGAGTTGCTTTCCTGATTTCAGCCACACTTTTCTCATTGTGGGCATACAGAAAAGCCATTGATTTTTGAGGGTTAATTTTATACCTGCTACTTTGCCAAAGT